CCCATGACATGTCAACGCTCTCCCCTTCTCGACCTTGGGTTCCCCATTTCCATTCTTCCAGCTTTCCTGTCCCCTCCTGCCTTCTCATCCTTGCCCCTGGGCTGGTGTGTTCATTTAGTCTTGTATATGTGGTTGAGCTGCGCGTATTGTTGTTTGTTTTATGGACCTATCTAATCTTTAGGTGAAGGGTGAACCTCAGAAGTGACTTCAGTACTGAGTTAAAAGAGTGTCTGGGGGCCGGCCATATACTCTCAGGGTTTCCCCAGTCTCTGTCAGACCAGTAAGTCTGGTCTCTTTTTGTGAATTTTAATTTTGTTCTACATTTTTCTCCAGCTCTGCTTGGGACCCTCTATTGTGATCCCCGTCAGAGCAGTCAGTGGTGGTAGCTGGGCACCATCTAGCTGTGCTGGACTCAGTCTGGTGGAGGCCGTGGTAGTTGTGGTCCGTTAGTCCTTTGGACTAATCCTTCCCCTTGTGTCTTTAGTTTTCTTCATTCTCCCTTGCTCTAGACAGGGTGAGGATTTTTTTTGCTACAAGCTTATATAGGGTCTAGAGAACATAATGTTTAATAAAAGAACTACAGAACTACCAAAAACAAAGAAATAAATGAAAAATCTCTCAGTGAAAAATTCCTTCAGGAGAATACAGGCCAACCATTATTTATGTATCCGAAACAGTCATGATAAAATCCCCAGAGATGTTGATTCTGCCTGGTTTCAAGAAGGGTATGTCTGATAATGTTGCTGATCTCTCTCCAATAATTGAGGCAGTCCATCCCTTAAGATTTATCTTGTTGAACTTTTTAAAAATCCTGATTCATAGATTCAGTTGTCCTTAGAACATTGGGTATCGCTAGGGCTTTTGGTCTTGATTTCAGGATTTAGGACTTCTGTACAGTGACGTGTAGGGGGCTGTCGCCTATCTAGCTAATACTTAAAAAGACTAGAAGCACTGTATCACATATAATTAATCTGTCAACTTAACACTTTTATCTGCTTCTACTCCAGAAAAAACTAAAAGTCTGGCACTAAGACTGCCCATCTCTACTGCACTCAACCCTCTAGCTTCAGATTGCCTCATAGCAACTTATTTTAACCTTCAAACTGCTCTTGGTATTCACATTAGGTTGTGTCCATCTGCTTCATTGTATTATCATGGGGGGGAGTGGAGCATGGTGTCTTTTGGCCCCATAGTACCCTGTTTAGGGCTGAGCTTTTTCCAGGAACTTATCACAAGCAAAGCTCCACATTTCTTGAAGAATAGTAGTAGTTGCATCTCAGCAGTTTCCGCTAACCCTATGTTTGTAGCCTGATGGTTTTGCTTGTCAACATCTTTTACTGTTGAGTGAAAATAGGATCTTAAAATGATGTTTTCATAAAATATCCAGGCAGTTGTTTGACTTTGGATAAAGTTAAGGACAAAGTAACATTTTGTTGTTCTTCACAACCCACTGGACTCACTTTGTTCAGCTGTGTGTGAGCAGTGGGAAGAAATAACATCGAAATATAATGTGGTCTTGCTCTGTCTGCATCTCTGCTCCCACCTCCTGCTGGGCACTAGAAAGGAAAGTTGAATCTGTGGACGATTTTCCAACTAGAACAGGAATGGCAGCCAACTCGGTGGTTTGATGAAGAAAAGAAATATACCCCTCCTTCTTTAAATCTCTTGGAATTTAGCCTGGATAGATTTCAGGAGATAAAGAGAACCCTGCCCAGTTTTCAGCTTTGCTAATATAGAGGCTAATGAGTGGAGAGGGAGAAGTGCAGAGCTGGGAGAGAGACTGGAAAAAGGAGTGGTAATGGTACAAGGCCCGAGTCTGTCACTGCTCCCAGGTTCTTTTGGCCCTATGTCTGAATGTTGGAAGCATTGAAAAACAAACAAACATAAATAGTTCACTGGCCAGGAAGCAGAGCTGCAGCTGCTCAGATATAGAACAGGTAATGTAGTCTTGAGTCCTCAACTCGTATCTTCGTCCTTGTTGTCCCCAGTTACATGTATTATCTCACTTCCTCTTCACAGCATATCTGTGATATAGACACAACTATTCTCTCCATTTTACAGCTGAAGAAACTGAGGCTTACAGGGACTAGGCAACTTGCCCACGCTCACACAGCTATGAAGTATAAGAACCACATTCCAATTTGGAATCATATCAGGCAGTTTCACAACTGAAGAGAAGATTGGAAGAGGGACAGGAACTGTGGGATCTGGGTAGCAGGGAACTCAAACAAAGCTAAATTATAGAATAGTTTGCTAACTTGAGCATCACACTTGGCACTTTTACAACTGTACGCTCAGCACGCAATGCTGTTGGACTCTCAATACCACCATAGAGAATTTGTCATCTTTTCTGTCTTTGTGTCGTTTTTTCCAAAATTCAAAGCCCCAGACAGGAGCATCTAGTTGGCCTGGTCTCCATCATGTCTTAGTCTAGCTGCCAGGAGGTGGAGAGGAGTATCTGGCTGATTTGACTTCTGTAGTAGGCAGTTGGGCCGTGCTTCCCACTGATTAGAAATCTCCCCAATCAGGAAGAGTATTTGGATGCTGGACAACAACAATACAAAGGGTAGATGTCCACCCCACCAGCCATGGCTGTACCTGTTGCCAGTATCCATGTGGACTGGTTGAAATGAGCAGCTGTGCCTTCGCCCATAAGCCTGGCTGTTTTTCCGAGATCAGGATCTGCCTGACAGAGTCCAATAGGACTATCAGGCATTGCACAAAGTACAGGAGTTTTCACATGAGGACTTCTGGCTGTTTCTGAATCATCGGAACTAACCATCACAGAGTTGAATGACCAGCCAGCTGATAGGGTTAATCTGAGGAAGAGCATATAAAAGAGGGGGCTATAGGGAGAACCCTTATCTAATTTACGAGCTTAACTGGTCCTTAGTGTGGTGTCTCAAGACCCTGAATTTGTATGATATGCTACTGGGCAATATTTCACTGTAGCTTTACTTGATTAATGTTACTGAACATTTTCTTGCTGCGAGAAGGAAGAACAATGTGCATGGCTGGCCTGCCTGTCTTCTTTCTTTCTTGCCTCCCTCCTTTCCCCCGCCTCCCCTTTCCTCCTTGCATTGTGGACATTTACCATAATGTTGACACTGTTTGGCCAGTTTATACCTCTAGGGGTGGGTCTGCAGAGTTTGATGAACTCACCCAGCAGGCTGAACAATACCAGGCTTTTGTGATAAAAATTCCCAGCCTGTTCCGTTCTCTGGCTGTGATCTGAGTGCTTTCTCAGACACCAGGCACAGAGCCTACGCAAGGGCACTGTTATCTTTGGAGTTCTCATTTTTTCGTGACCCAAGGCTCATTGCTTTTTATACTGTTGACTTTTGTCTAGCTTATTACTTTATCAAATCCGTAAGAGTTTAAAATCAAATCAAAGGAGCAAATATTTTTCAGCTCTTACTTGGAGCAAGCTGCTTTACTAGGAAACTATACATTTCTGGGCTTATGTGTATGTGGGTGAATATGCTGAGATGTGTTGAAATCGTGTGTATATTAGAAGCACCTAAATGATTGGAATTTAGAGTCTTTCTTTGTGTATCTTCAGTAAGAGTAGTCCTGTCTCCATCTGCCTAGTGAATATGTACTTATTCTTTATCTTCTTCTTCACTTTCAGGTAACCAGCCACCCCTTCCTTTGTGCCACGCCAGTATTTGCAGCACTTTGCTTCACTCATTTGCTTGTGTCTTTGCCCTTCTCCTTGACTCTTTGCCTTAAGATAGGGACCATAACATTTTTGTATGTGTATAGTGTCTAGCGTTGTGCCTAGCATGTAGTGTTGTTGTTAGTTGCTGTTGAGTCGATCCCGACTCATGGCGACCCCATGTATTACAGAGTAAAATGTGAGTTTTCTTGGCTGTAATCTTTTTTTTTTTTTTTTAATTGTGCTTTAGGTTAAAGTTTACAGCTCAAGTTAGTCTCTCATATAAAAATTTATACACACATTGTTATGTGACCTTAGCTGCCATCCCTATAATGTGACTGCACATTCCTTCTTACCCCTCTGGATTTCCTGTGTCCATTCAACCAGCTCCTGACCCTCTCTGCCTTCTTATCTCACTTCCGGACAGGAGCTGCCCATTTAGTCTCGTGTATCTACTTGAACTAAGAGACACACTATTGACAAGTATTATTTTATCTTTTATAGTCCAGTCTAATCTTTGTCTGAAGAGCTGGTTTCGGGAGTGGTTTTAGTTCTGGGTTAACGGAGAGTCCAGGGGACATGTCTTCTGGGGTTCCTCCAGTCTCAGACCATTAAGTCTGGTCTTGTTACTAGAATTTGAGTTCTGCACCCTACTTTTCTCCTGCTCTGTCAGGGACTCTGTGTTGTGTTCCCTGTCAGGGCGGTCATTGGTGGTAGCCGGGCACCGTCTAGTTCTTCTGGTCTCAGGCTGATGGAGTCTCTGGTTTATGTGGCCCCTTTTGTCTCTTGGGCTAATATTTTGCTTGTGTCTGTGGTGTTCTTCATTCTCCTTTGCTCCAGGTGGGTTGGGACAAATTGATGCATCTTAGATGGCCACTCGCTAGCTTTTAAGACCCCAGGTGCCCCTCACCGCAGTGGGATGCGGAACATTTTCTTAATAAACTTTGTTATGCCAGTTGACCTAGATGTCCCCTGAAACCATGGTCCCTAGACCCCCTCTTGGCTGTAATCTTAATGGAAGCAGATAGCCGGGCCTTTTCTTCCGTAGTACTCCTAGGTAAGTTTGAACCACCAACCTTTAGGTCAGCAATCGAGCACAAAAGGTTTGTGCCACCTGTGGACCTCAGTGCATAGTAGGCACTTTAAAAAATGTTTGAATGAATGACTGAATAAATGAATTTTCTTTAGCTGTCTTTTTCTGAAGCCGAGATTGATTCTGGTGAAATGGAAAATTTGTACTCTTGTGTTTAAAATATTTAATAATTTTTATGATTAAAATAATTCTGAATTTCCTGTGGTAAGAAGGGCCACAGTGACATGCTTTCTTCTTTTGTTTTTACAGGTGTTCCAGGATTTGGGGACTGAAGTGCTATCTGGAGCTGCCAAAGGCTACAACATATGCCTTTTTGCCTATGGACAGACAGGCTCTGGGAAGACATACACCATGCTGGGGACCCCAGTGAGTGATTTAGTACTCTAATGAGATCTTCCTAGTGCCACGGCAAGCCTGAGTCTTATTTTGCCTGATCAGGGTTCCGTCCTTGCCACTGAGAGATAGAATGTGAGCCTGTCAACTTTAACAAGATTTCTAGGATCTCTTCTGCCTTAAGAATGGGTTTCTAAGCACTTTAATAGAAAGTTTTCTACATGTCTCCAGTGAAACTCCCTAAAATGAAGAGGCTAGCACAATTAGCCCAAGCGCAGTCTTCCACGCTGAGGATAGTTCCTGGGTGTTGGGTTGGGGAGAGCATCACTGTGAGTGAGCAGCAATATTATTCTTCTCTTCTCTTCTCCAGGCCTCCGTAGGGCTGACGCCGCGGATATGTGAGGTATAGACTCTTCTTTTAACTGGATCTTCTCAAAGTAGGTCTCCTTTATACACTCCCTTCAGTGAAACCCAAACCTCTGGTTTGTGCAGGGTCTCTTCATCAGGGAGGAAGACCATCCCTCACTGCCTTCTTCTTGTAGGATAAAAGTAAGGTAGGAACCTATCAAGCTCTGGGCCTGAAGTGTTACTGTTTCCACTCCAAATTCTAGCATGCTCAGTCATCTTCTCCTTGTTTCCAGAGTTACCCAGAGGGTTGGAGAAAAGCCACAGCAGAAATATCTTGCAGTACAGGGAGATGAGAAACATACTTAGGTCCTTGGTTTGTACCCATTGCAGTTGAGTCGGTTCTGACTCATGGCAACCTTATAGCACAGAGTAGAGCTGCCCCATAGGGTTTGCAAGGAGCGCCTGGTGGATTTGAACTGCCGACCTTTTGGTTAGCAGCTGTAGCTCTTAACCACTGCACCACCAGGGTTTCCTCTTTGTATTGTAGAAAACAGAATTCCCTCTCTTTAGGTTTAATAAGCAAGTGTCTCCTTCTGTGGACCAGCTTACTCTGGCTGTCTGGTTTCCTTTACCTTCATTTTTATACAATTTTTTTTGGAATAACTCTTCTATCCTCTTACTAGGTTGTTCTCCAGGGCAGTAGTTACTAAATCTAGTTCCCAGACTAGTGTCGGCTATTCCGAGATAAAGTTTTAACTGGCCTGTAGTAAAAATAGTGGTGTAAGGGAAGGTTAGGTTACCAACTGCCCTTTATTTAAGACCATGACCCTCCTACTTTTTTGGTGTTCACCTGTCTTTTTTTTTAAATTGAGTTATAATTCACATACCATAAAATTTACCCAATGGATTTTAGTATATTCACAAAGTTGTACAACCATTACCACCATCTAATTCCAGAACATTTTCATCACTCCTAGAAGTTTTCAAAATAAAAATTTGAAAACCAATATTAGCGTGTGTCTGTATATATACACATAGATACACATACATGAAATCTGGGACCCACTACTCTCTAGGAGACAGCTGGGGTTTCTGTGTCCTGCTATGAGAAAGTTAGGGAGAAAAAATATATGAAAAGAATATGGATATAGCCATAGGCTGTGTTCTGGTGAAGAAAACCTTTCCGTGAGAAGTCTGCTTTCTTGTTTAATAGAATCTTACTGATTTTAATAAAGAATTGTAGCTTTTTAAAATTTTTTAAAGGAATGAAATGCCAGTAGATGCCTGTAAGTTGGAGCATATCTAATACAGATTCTCAGTGTATAAAACAGATAAAATGAGAATTGTCCTACTTAAAGCAGGAGAGGGTACCAGACCCTTCTCACTTAGCATTCCTTATTGCTCGGCAGTGGCCCTCGTGATGCCTTCACAGAACAGCAGTGTTCAAGGAACACATCTGAAAATCAGTTCAAGGAATGAGTTCTTTCGATTCCGTTCTGTGGCAGCCCGATCAAAGCACAACCTGGTGGCCTCGTTAAAACCGTTGCCGTCGAGTCAGTTCCGACTCATACCGACCCTATAGGGCAGAATAGAAGTGCCCTATAGGGTTTTCAAGAAGCAGACTGCCACGTCTTCCTCCCGCAGAGGGACTGGTGGGTTCAAACTGCCAGCCTTTCAGTTAGCAGCCAGGCGCTTAACCTGGTGGCAGCATACCCTAAAAACCTCTTGAGAGCTAAACTTGAATCAGCCCTGATATTGTAAGCCTAGAACTATAAAGTGATGACAGCCAGTGCCTAAAACACTCTTGTTCCCCTGTAGGAAGAGACTCAGGGTGGGCACTAGCTTGAGCCAGGTCTGAAATTACCAGATAGCGAACAAGAGCTGGGACCTCCTGCTTCTTGGCTCAGTGTTTTTCCCACAGGACTTAACTATTTTCAAAATCTAGTTGTGTTGTCTTTTTTACTTGTCTATAGTTTCCTGGAAATCTACAATGAAAGGGTACGGGATCTGTTGAAGCAGTCTGATCAGAAAAAGTCCTATACCCTGCGGGTCAGGGAGCACCCAGAGATGGGGCCCTATGTACAAGGTGAGCCACCCTGTCCTTTGAGGTCTTAGACCAAACTGAAGCGTGGGAACCTCTCCTAACCAACCAGTTGCCATCTTGTCAATTCAGACTCATGGTGACCCCATGTGTGTCAAAGTAGAACTATGTTCTGTGGGGTTTTCAGTGGCTGATTTTTCAGCAGTTGATTGCTAGGCCTGCCTTCTCAGTTGTCTCTACGTGGATTCAAACTGCCAACCTTTTCGTTAGTTGTTGAGTGCTTAACCATCTGTACCACCCAGGGATTTCAGAAGCTGTTTTAATGTTCACTAATTCATTCTAGAACACTGGATGTTGTTGTTGGGTGCCGTCAAGTCGGTTCTGACTCATAGTGACCCTATAGGACAGGGCAGAACTGCCCCATAGGGTTTCAGAGGCTGACATCTTTATGGGAGCAGATCTCTAGGTCTTTTCTCCCACAGAGCAGCTTGTGGGTTTGAACCACTGACCTTTCGTTTAGCAGCTGAGCGCTTAACCGTTGCACCACCAGGGCTCCTTAGATGCTGGATAGATTCCAATAAGTAGAAAAGACATGGTCCTGCCGTCATGAGCAAGCTTACAATCTAATAGGGTGACTCAGAAAACAAGCAAACGCTTAGTAACAAGTTGTACTGGGCTAATAAAAAAATAAGTAGGTATAGTGATGGAAGTTCATATATGTGCCCATTCCAGAGAAAGGTGATCCAACAGAATGAGGAAATTATTGAACAATATCGTTAATATCTCACACAAGTAAAATTTTGCTGAAGATAATTCAAAAACAGTTGTAGTAGTACATCAACAGGGAACTGCCAGATATTCAAGCCAGATTCAGAAGAGGCCGTGGAACAAGGGATATCATTGCTGATGTCAGATGAATCTTGGCTGAAAGCAGAGAATACCAGAAAGATGTTTACCTGTGTTTTACTGACTATGCAAGGGCATAGTATGGATCATAACAAATTACGGATAACATTGCGAAGAATGGGAATTCCAGACCCTTAATTGTGCTCATGAGGAACCTGTACATAAACCAAGAGGGAGTTGTTTGAACAGAACAAGGGGATACTGCATAGTTTAAAGTCAGGAAAGGTGTGCATCAGGGTTGTATCCTTTTACCATACTTATTCAATCTGTATGCTGAGCAGATAATCCAAGAAGCTGGACTATATGAAGAAGAACGTGGCATCAGTATTGGAGGAAGACTCATTAACAACCTGCAATATGCAGATGACACAACATTGCTAAAAGTGAAGAGGACTTGAAGCACTTACTGATGAAGATCAAAGACCACAGCCATCATTATGGATTGCACCTCAACGTAAAGAAAACAAAAATCCTCACAACTGGCCTAATAAGCAACATGATGATAAACAGAGGGAATACTGAAGTTGTCAAAGATTTCATTTTACTTGAATCCACAATCAACACCCATGGAAGCAGCAGTGAGGAAATCAAACAACATATTGCATTGGGCAAATCTGCTGCAAAAGACCTCTTTGAAGTGTTAAAAAGCGAAGACATCACTTTGAGGAGTAAGGTGCACCTGACCCAAGTCATGGGATTTTCAGTCACCTCCTATGCATATGAAAGCTGGGTGATGAATAAGGAAAACACCTTTGAATTGTGGTGTTGGAGAAGAATATTGAATGTACCATGGACTGCCAAAAGGACTGCCAAAAGTACAACCAGAATGCTCCTTAGAAGCAAGAATGGTGAGACTATGTCTCACATACTTTGGACGTGTTGTCAGGAGGGATCAGTCCCTGGAGAAGGACATCATGCTTGGTAAAGTACAGGGTCAGCGAAAAAGAGGAGGACCCTCAATGAGATGGACTGACCCAGTGGCTGCAACAGCGATTGTGGGGATGGGCAGGACTGGGCAGTGTTTCGTTCTGTTGTACATACTGTTGCTATGAGTTGGAACTAACTTGATGGCACCTAACAACAACGATGGCAAAGAACATTGGGAGGTATAGGAGACCCATCAGCATGGGGTGATCATGAGTCAGGAAAGGCTTCTCTGACGAGGCGGTATTGAAGCTGAGACCTGAAGGGAGGGCAGGACCCAGTCGTGTGAAGAATGGTGCAGTGAGGGGAGGAGTGTTGGGTAGAAGAGCCACATGAGTCAGAGCCCTGAGGGAAGAGCTGGGTATTTTCAAGGAGGCCAAGTGGCTGAAGCTTTGTGAGTAAGGGGGTAGTGGCGTGGAATCAGGTTGGATATGCAGATGTCAGATCCAGCAGGGTCTCACTGATTCCCAGGTCAGCCAGTCTTCTTTCCAGGGGGCTTTCTTTTCCATTGGAGGTGATAGAGAGGATGGGAGAGATGGGGAGTTGTCACATATAGGGCAGGGTCTGATCTGTTTCCTCATCAAGCACTTGTATCTCAAAGTGTTTGATACCGTCTGTCGTACTTCATTAGGCTGGGTCTTGCTTTGAGTGAGAACAGTTGGGTTCTTTTGTGGAGGAGTTTTTTTACCTTTTCAGGCTACTCATAAGAATCAATGTATATGTTTTATGCCACTGTTCCCACAGCAGTATGCTAACTTAAATCCTGACAAGGAGAGGAACAGGAAAGTTCTCTTCTTTGATGAGGACATGGCCAATGGATGAAGACCCGTGGGTGTGCTCAGTCACTGATTTTGCTACCCGTGTCTTTTTCCAAATGCCCCATCATGAATAGAAGCTTGCAAACAACAACAAAAATACCATATACTTTGCTGGAAGCCAGTTTGAGTTTCCTCTAAAACCCTGTGGACATACATTTCTCTGTGGGTCCAGAATGGCACCTTCAAGGCAGACTGTGACGTGATGCAGTAGCATTACAACTTCTCATCTTAAACTATCTTTTTTGGTTTATGTGGGAGTAACTAGAGGAGACCTCAGGCATAGTCCAAATGTCCTCATTATCCAGAAGATAAAATGAAGTCTGGAAGAAGCTAAGGGACTTGCCCAAAGTCACACAGCTGGATGGGGCAGGCTTGGACCTTGGAACCTTGCCTGGGACCAGGTTGAAAGGAATAGGACAGAATCTTGTATGTTAAGAGTCTGAAGGAGACGTAGGACCATAGATTCTTTGACTGGAATTGTATCTGAAACCCAGAGAAGATATGAACTCACCCAAGGTCATATGGCTTGGGTCATACACCCAAGGTCAGTGGCAGGCTCAGGATTAAAATCGAGGACTCAAGATGCCGTTTAGGGTTCTTTATTTTGGATACTTTTATGGAGTGAATCTTTGGGGAAGGGGTGGGGTGGGGGGCTGAGCAAAGGAAGGGGGGCAGGAGGTGTTTGGTAGGAAATAAATTCTAAGTCAGCAATGTCTCTTAGGTCCTAAGGGTTATAGGTTTCCTGAAGCCAATCTGGACTTTCTCAAACCATTACAGATAATAGGTGGACATTCCTCCCATTTCTTAGTGAAGGAGCTATGAGTTCAACTAGTGTAGAACCAACCTTGGAAGGTAGGATCCTAAATAGTCACACTGAACTGTGTTGTTCCCATTACTATTCTCTAATGGCATTATAGCAATTTTTTTTTTTATTTAAAGAATATCTTTTTTTTTGTTCGTTTATTCATTCATCTGTATCTTGCCTGTCTGTCTTTCTGTCTGTCATCTCATGCATTCTGTGAGTTTGACTCCAAAGTAGAAAGTGTTTCTAGTTTCAAACCAATTCTACAGGAATTTATTGTGTGCTTGCTAGATACATATACTATTTAGGGTACCATGAGGTATATGAAAATTTAAGGCCGGGTTCCAACCCTTGAAGAACTTGCAGTTCTAGTTTAGAATTGTGAGCAGAAACTTGATAGCTGCCTAAATCTACCAAAAGGAAAGGGGTATCCTATTACTGTCACAAGAAGTTTGCTTATTAATTAGATGATGGATTAAGTCGAAATCTGAAATGTAAAGGGCCCTGCCCTAAGCACACATAAGAGACCAATGGCTGCAGTAAAGTGATAGCTAAGTGAGACAAAGACAATATCGTGTTTTTGCTTTGACCTTTATTTTAATCCAGAGAGACAGGTATAAAGCAGGAGATGCTGGAAGTAGGTAGTTGGGACACTGAAAAAAATTTTGTATTTTCTATGTACTCAGTCTGCAAATAACAGAAGTTTTATTTTATTTTTTTCTTTTTAATCCTTATACTGTTTTTTCCCTTTGTATTCTGCACTGACTAGGACTTCTAGACAGTATTTTTAAAAAATGGTAACAGTATCTTGTCTTGCTCCTAAGGAAAAGCTTTCAATATTTTACCAGTAAGTATGATGTTTGCGGTAGCTTTTGTTTTTAATAGATACTCTTTATCATGTATTTCTTAAACTATCTGTGATGAAGGACCAGTTTTTTAAAAAAATTTCAATCCATGACATAATCAATACCTTTTATAAAATAAAACAAAGATGAATTACTTGAATAATGAAAAAAGATGTATTAATTACAAATTTTTCATTTCTAGATTCAACAGATTAAAAAATTACTCTGTCAAATTGTTATATAAAAGTTCCTAACACTCTCAATTTCTCTATCTCATCGTAAACCAGCAAGAATTTGAGAACTGGCACCAGTCTGTGGATAACTTAGAGTAGCACTACCTTAACAGATTAAGGAAGTTCTCTTTTCTTCTTAATTTTCTAAGATTTTTTATTTTATTATTTTGAAACAGGTCAAACTTTCAAAAAAGTTACAAGTACAGTATAAAGAACTTTTTTTCTCAGACCGTTTGAGACTAAATGGCTGTCCTCATGGCCCATCTCCTGTGAATATTTTAGTGTGTTCTTTCTACAAACAAAAATATTCTCCTATATAATTACAGTGTAGCCATCAAAATCAGAGAATTAGTTTTAGCACGTTACTACCATGTAATAGATTTCAGTAATAGTCCCAATAACTGTACAGTTGCGTGTATTTATGATGTCTCCTGAAGAGTTCCTCTGTCTTTTCTTGACTTTCATGAACTTGACACACCATCAGATGGTTTGCAATTTTTATTTATCCCGTTGCACATGATATTCACTTTCTTTACTTGACTAAGGTGATGTCTGCTAGGCTTCTTCACTCTGAAGTTACTGTTTTTCCTTTGTGATTAACAAATATTTTGTGGGGAGATACTTCGAAATCATTGAGTGATGCAAACAACACGCTCAGCTGCTAACTGAAAGGTTGGAAGGTTGAGTCCACCCAGAAGTGCCTTGGAAGAAAGGCCTGGCCATCTACTTTAGAAAAATCAGCCGTTGAAAATCTTATGGAGCACAGTTCTACTTTGACACACGTGAGGTCGCCATGAGTCAGAATTGACTTGATGGCAAATGTCCTGTACCTCATCAAACTTTCAATGTATTTGTTTTATTTATGTTGGTATGGGTTCATGCTTTTCTGTCTTATTCAGTGGTTTATTATCTGGTACTATTATTTTCTATTTTGATGCTCAGATTGTTCCAGGTTTAGCAAATGGGTTCCCCTTCATGTGGGCTTCTGTGACATTTTAACATATTACTATCATTTTGGAGCACTTTCTTGCTTTCTGGCGCAAGATATTTGAGGCTCATCTTCTACGTTCCCTGCCTCAGCCCTGGAAAATTAGCCATTTCTCCCAGGTACCCTGGTTACTCTTATTGGAGAATGGTATTTAGAAGCCAAAATCTGGGTGCTAGGTATACTCATTGCTTTTGGGATGTTGTAACTCCTGATCCCTCTCAGTGGACAATTGGGTAATATATGTTCACACCAGTACTTCCAATTCCAATCTAATCCAACAAAACCGGATACTTTCCAGATTTCTCCCTTTCCATATTTATAATTCCCTTATATAACCGTGAAAAATACTTCTTTGATCATACCCCCTATGTGTAATCAGTCTCCATTGCCACTGCTGCCCTCTCTATGGATGTCCACCTCACCATGGCTGTGCTTTGACTCCCTATGCTGGGCCACCTCACCACAGGAAGCCTTCCTCACCATGCCCAAGCCTAACACTTTGAGCTGGGCAGCTTGTTCCCCTTCCCAACGAACCATGTGAGTGCCTTCCTCACCCTTCTTGGTGTTCGTATCCCTGTGCTGGGCCATATCCCTGCCCCAACATGAAAGCCTACCCACCCCATGTGGTCTCCAACACCCTGTGCCAGACCAGTCTCTGTGTAGATGCCCTCCTCACCTCACTTGTGCTCCGACTTCCCATGGCAGGCCACCCCCACATGTGGGCAGCTTTCTCACCCTGCCTGGGCTTTGATATCTTGCTCTGGTCTGCTTCCGTGTGAATGCTGTCCTCACCCTACTCAGACTTTGACTTTCTGTGCTGGGCTATGGCACATGTGGCCACCCTTCTCACTCCACTCTCATGTCAGGCCTTCCCTCTACATGGGTGCCCTCCCCACCCTGCTCAGCTCCTGATTCCCCAGTGGGAGGCTGCCCTTGGCATGGACACTCTTCTCACCCTGCTTGGGCTATGACACTCCACACTGGGCCGTCCCCACCCTCAGTGTGGACACCTTCCCAACCTATTCATCCATAAATATTTTAGTATATAGCCCTAAAAGATAAGGAATGTTTTAAAAAAGAAAAAGCAACAAAACCATTGTCACGCCTAAATAATAACAATAATTCCTTAATATAAAAAATCCAATGTTGAAATTAATTTTTGATGTAATTGTATTCAGTAGTGAGTCCATAAGGTTATTTTGCTCCCAAGTCTCTAATACGAAGATTCTTAAGTACAGTCGTGAAGATCCTTTGTGACTTGGTCCATAACTAGCCATAAACACTTACTTCCATGCCCTGAAACTTTTCTTCATCTATCTAAAGCTACTCATTCTACAGTAGCCAAATTCAAGACTCATCTCCACAGAACCTGCCCTAACCTCTCCTCTGATCTCCTTACCATTTATTATCACTTCTACTCCTGTAACACTTGGTCATATTGTCTTATTGTAGTATAACTTACCATGATTGTAAACTGTAGGGGGACAGGGACATGTGTATTGTATATTTTGTATGCCAAACTGAGTCTGCCACTTGCTGGGATACTTAATACCTCCCTACCTCAAGAATTGTGTGAGAGCCAAAGGAGATAATATGTAAGAACTTTTTTTGTAACTTATATAGCAAAATTTTAAGGAATTAGTATTATTGTTTTGTTATTGCTAGCCTAGCCACTCTATGGATTCTAGGCCATAATCTCTGTGAGGGCAGAGACCTGTGTTCCCAGAGTCTATCACAGTACCTGGGAGTAGGCTTTCAGTAAATATTTCTTGACTTATTATCTAAATGAGTTTAGCCAAGTTCCCTCATTCTTCTCCATCAAGTAATATGAAATAGGAATGACAAAATTAAGGACAGGTAAAGGTTAAACTTTCTAAAAAAATTTAATTTATTTTGTCCCTCTTGCAAATCTGATAGGTTTATCTCAACATGTAGTTACCAACTATAAGCAAGTAATTCAACTCTTGGAGGAGGGGATAGCTAACAGGTAACAGGTTTGTTTATTCCTATCATTCTTTTACCGCATTTACCTGTCCTCTGTTCTCATTGTTCCCCTTTGGGAGACTGTGTATGATGATACTTAAAATTGTCTTTGTCTGCAGCTTCCCACATCTTCAATCAGGGACCCTTCTCAGAGCAGTGATGTACTTGGGATGAGGAGCCGTGGCTAAGATTTAGTGCTCTTCTCACTAGTACTGATACTGGAGTTTGTTTTGGGTAAAATGATATTAGGCATTGAGCCCAGAGAGTTACTCTGCCTCTTGTCGTGTAATACACAGCTTCTGCTATTTTAGTTAAAGAAAACATTCTTGCCTGCACTGTCCTCGCCTCAGGCTTGATAGAGATGAGTGCCAATACAGTGTAAAATGTTTTCAGGAAAACATTTTTCTTGTTTAGCAGACTTGAAAAGGTGCTGTAGATGCCCCTGATCGTTATTGTAAATTGTGGTAACACTGCATGTTGTCAGTTATGATGAAATACTCAGCATATTATCAGTAAATGCCTGAAAAATGCTTTTATATGTAGGAAAGTATTTCGAGTTTTCTCTTTACCCTATTAATAGCAGGTGCAAGTTAATTGGATATAAAGGAAAAAAACTAATGTTCTACCCTAGGGGCTTACAGGCTCTTCTGGTCGTCAGGATATCCTGAGTTCCTTGATCGTTCAAAGTGTCAGACTTCACCTTTTCCTCTTTAGCCTTGAATCATGAGGCCAGCCTCTAGATTTTGGCCCTTTTCTTCAATTCTTCAGCTTCTCTGAGAACAGAAGCCAATGAGATGGTCCTAAACTGAAACGTGATTACCTTAGATTTAATAAAGGGAAAGTGCTCCTGACGAAGCGTTAACATTGGAATGGGTTCCTAAGGGAGACTGTGAATTCCGCTTGGTTTAAGCATGATGCTGACATAATTCAGCATGTCCTTTCAGAGGCCTTTGTGGCATTGTAATATTCTCTGTTAAATGACGGCTCACTTTCTCTGTCTTTGAGTCTTCTTCAGCAAGCTGTCTCCCTAATGGTCTGTCCTGGGAATGTTTTTCCAGGTTGATGACACTCTAGTATTCCCCTTTCCACTCTGATTTTTGCTTCAATTGCTTTAAAAAAATCTTCTAACATGGTTTAATATGAAGCTACACTACGTTTTATTCTCAGATATCAGCATATAGAGTGCTGTTTCTGCCCTCTTTGAGCCTAACTGTACTAGACTAAAAATGGATCCTTTATTGTTCTCATCCGTGAACCTCCACACTAACATTTTTTGTGTTTCCTATGAATCCTTAAGGGTTCACCATGCACAAACCATCCTTGTCCTAACTGTCTTCCCTTGTATACACAGAATCACAGCAGCCACCCATGTTCATGAGGCCAGCAGCAGATCTCATGCCATCTTCACTGTCCACTACACGCAGGTTGGTCACCCTTGTATTTGATGAGACGTCTTCCTCTCTTTCCCCTTTTGGCTACTTTTCTTTCTTCCTGTTCCTTTTCCTTTCCTCCTCCTCTTCCGTTAACAGGTCCTCTGATATAACTGAATTGTCACAGAGGACCCACGTGCAATCAATTCAGCTACACACCTAGAGGGAGAGATTTCATAAAGGTTAATCAAAATATCTTATGTTTATATTTTACTTTTAACATTTCAAAGCACTTTTACATCTCTTATGTGATCAGTATGAGCGTTTAAAATGAAAAATAAGGTTGAAATGAAAATAAACATTAAAATTAAAAAGTAGGAGATTCACTTCCATTACGACGGAGTGAAGAGCTTGAAAAATGCTATTCCCAAAAGCAAGTATAAAGCTGGACAAAACTGTCAAAAAGAACCATTTCTGTGCTCTGAAAATAGACCAAAGGCATACAACAAACCGAGAAATGTTTATTTACGAACACTACTAAAGTTTGGTTAAGAACAGTGCAGATGTATGGTGTTCTTGCCTTGGGCTACTCCCCACCTGCACCCCTAGCTCTGTGGGCGTGTAGTTTAGTCAGGGCAGGGCAGACTGAAAATCTCCCGCTGCCGGAGGGGCTCACTTGATCTGGAGCGCTGTAAGTTAAAGTGGTGACCCTGGTGGCAAGTGAACGAGGAGCGCCAGTGGGTCCACTAGCCTCAGGTTATGGGTTTGTTTTAGGCAAGACACTGACCGCAGACCATCTGGAATTTGACAGGGAATTCCAGAAGGTGATACAGCCACAGGGGTATCACCACCACAGCACAAACAACACTACTACTGATTCCTTTATAAGATCCTCACATATCCTGGGTTGGCTGGAAGCTGTGTACACGTGCAGCACAGGCCAAGTGGGTCCAAGCCACATGACCCTGACAGACAGAGCCTGCCTATATGTGCAGAGGAGACACGAGAGGCCCTGTGACTAGTGAATGCTGGGCCACCCACACACAGATCTGTCAGGAGAGAGAAGTCCTAACTGGCTTAAGGTGTTGGGTCCAGCTTCTGACCGGTTTCATAGTTTTAGGTTTTCCATTTAGATTTCTTGAGTGAGTTGGCTAAAAATCCAAAATATCACCATGGTTAGGAGACTGTCTCTTAACCATTATACCACCAGGGCTCCAGGAGAGTGTCTAAGGGCAAAAAAACCCACAAAGCCCCAAATGATAAGCTTTAAATGTATTCTCTCCCATAGGCAATCCTGGAGAACAACCTCCCCTCTGAAATTGCTAGCAAGATCAACCTTGTGGACCTAGCAGGCAGGTAATTAGGATCTCAAAGCCAAGGGGAATTACTCCCTTGACATTCACCTTGTTCTTGCCCATTGTATGGGGAATGAGCTTGTCCAGCCTTTCTCACATTTCAGTCATCCTGAGAAAATTGCAAAAGAAATGAATTCTTTGAATGCTAGGTCAAGAAGTTATAGTTTTCCAGGGACTGGAAAGTTCTTCTAAGTCAAGGGTTCTTAATCTTAGCTCCCCATTAAAATCAGCTGGGGACATTTTCAAACTCCCAGTGCCTAGGTTACACCCCAGGTCAGTTAAGCCCGATGATTGGGTGGGTAGGGAAGGGGAAGTGCAAGCATCAGTACTTTTTAAAGCTGCCTAGGTGAGTCCAGTATATAGCACGGGTTGAAACCTACTGCTGTAAGTGGAAGCACAGCTTCTTCCTTTGATTTACTATTGATTTTATGCAGCTTTATATGCTAGTTAAAAAAAACACAAAAACTTTAAATATTGTGGGAGTGGGGGAAAGATATGGCCTTTTAAGAATTAGAAGGAAGCATAAATTGTAGCCACATATATATGCAAAAAGAAGAAAGTCTAAGATGAAATAAAATAAATTTTCTTATTTTTAAACTGCTAAGTAATATAGTACAGCAACCCTTAAGAACTGAGTGCTGTCTGCAAGAAACTGTATCAGCCAATCTAAGGTGTGACATTTTAATGCTTCTCATTAAAAAATGAATTTGAGACACTTGACAGTTAATAACTAATACTGTAAGACCATTAATATTTGAATTTAAAACAATAAGGATAGAGGGAAAGTAAATATACTAAAACCTATTTTAATATCATTACTGTAAATGAGCATTACATTTAGCTTAAAGTGTTCTACCAGCCAAAAGAAAAACAAAAATGTAATGAATTATTTGATTGTATTGCCTAAGAAGTAAAAGCATGCCAGTTCTTTACAAAATGGTAACATTTTTCCTGGAACTGAATTCTAAAAGGAATTTGTTTTGTGGGCCTTTTAAAACAATATGATGTACAAGGTAATGGATAGTATTTTCAACAGCATTGTAAGGCTAATGTCTTCTTTTTTGCTTTAGTTTTTGTTTTCATTGACTGTTTTATAGTGAAAGAGCAGATCCCAGTTACTGTAAAGACCGGATTACTGAAGGAGCCAACATCAACAAGTCCCTTGTGACTTTGGGAATTGTCATCTCCACCTTAGGTATTGTAATGATAGACTGGGTCATAGGAGTGGGAGGGAGACTTCAGAAGATAACCGGTAGATTCTTCTTTTGTCATAATGGAGGTAGAAACTACATGGTTCTTTTTCTTAAAGTTACCTTATTTGGGGGGGACATGAAAAATTGATATTTGCCTGTGAGTTTAGAGTACAATGTGACCATCACCCTACCACTGTCATTTCAAAAAGATGGAAGATAAATTGTATGGTACAAACACTTCTTGTCACGTGTCCAAAATCTAATTCAGGGCTCAAACTTAAAGCATCCTATCATATGCAGAAAGAGATTAGGAAGTATGATATTTCATCTATGTTCTTCAACCACTGTTTTGTGTGAATGTACTTGAAATGCACTTGCTTCGTAATTCCTTCTTTCATTTACCTCTATTTTTTGTCTTTTAAGCCCACAACTCCCAAGTATTCAGCAGCTGCCAGAGCCTCAACAGTGCAGCCAGTGATTGTGGTGACGGTGGAACCCCTAGCTTTTCTTCTGGGACCAGCAGTGGAGGGAGACCCTCCCGGAGGCAGTATTATATCCCATACCGGGACTCTGTGTTGACCTGGCTGCTGAAGGACAGCCTTGGAGGCAACTCCAAAACCATCATGGTTGCCAGTGAGTGGGGTGCTGAAGCTGGTTCTACGTTGGGACTGACATTCTGCCTCAGAGAAAGGACTTTGACTACCTAGGGTTCTTCGTTCCAGCAAGGGTCTCTTGTACAACATGGGCTATAGCAGCGAGGCGAGTGGTTAAGGGCTGGTTGGAAGTGTTTGCCTTTTTTTTTTAACTTTTCCCTTCCACCTCAGCTGTGTCTCCTGCACACACCAGCTACAGTGAGACCATGAGCACACTGAGATACGCATCCAATGCCAAAAACATCATCAACAAGCCACGGGTGAATGAGGTGAGACCCCCATCTGAAGTTCTGGTCTGGGATCGCTTACACAAAGTTTTCTTTATTTTTTTCTCTCATTGATTTCTTTCTATTTTGTAGTGACAACAGCTTGCCAGGTTTCTTCTCCAAATGATGACAGAGTGAAATTCTTTCTTTCAATGTCATACCCTTCTCTCATCTCTACTGACTTTATTCAGTAACTTTTTATGAATAATTTATTTTTGCTACTTCTTTAAGGCCATTCCTTTCAAGATCCCTGATGTACCATTGCCCCTCTAAGAAAGGTCATTTAAAAGTTTCTGTGTGTACTGCTCTTATTTTGAATTTATGATAACTTGTGCCTGTGTTTTATGTTTCTGTGCAAATTGCAGTGACTTGGTTTTGGGCAAGAAGAGAATAAGGAATTCATTAGTTTTGGAAGCCGAATCATAATGAGAATATTTCAAATGTTCCTTATCTCCTTGGCAAGTCCAGTGAAAAATTCCAGGGCAAGGATCACAAACTGGTGGCCAGACATACATAGCCCATCTGTGGACTTTTTATAAAGGCCATATAAGGGCAGAGGATAAAACGGGAAGCTCAGCACTTACTACCTATCCTCCCCTGGCATTTGTGTTACCTGCCTGGCCTCCTGCTCTTGGGCAGTGATTTTCAAGCTTTAGTGTGTATCAGAATCACCTGGAGAATTTGTTAAAACGGATTTCCAAGCCCCACCCCCCAGAGTTTCTGATTTAGAAGGTATGGGATGAGGCTAGAGAGTTTGCATTTCTAACAAGTTCTTTGATGAAGTTGATGCATCTGGTCCTGGGACCACCCTTGGAGAACCACTGCTCTAGTAATCAACTTCTTCCAAGCTGATTGCATGTAATTCGCAGCTAGATGGGGAAATCTAGGGGCCGTTATCAATCAATGGTGACTGAGTTTTCTATGTTTCAGGATGCAAACGTAAAGCTGATCAGAGAACTCAGAGAGGAGATCAAAAGATTGAAAGCCATGCTGCTGAGCTTTGAACTGGTGTGTGGGCAATCAGAACTTTTCCATGCTCAAGTGGGGTTCTCCTCCTGAGCCCCTGAAGAGTTAATTTAGGAGGGTCTGTTCCTCTGCATACAATCTGGGCCTTGCTGCATTCCATGTGCTGTTGAGTAACAGTAGTGGAGCAGAGGCAGGAGCACAGACAGGAGGGGGACTTAATTGCTCTGTAGTTCCAGCTGGGGTGGGCATCCCCTCCCTACAGCATCTCTGTTGTCTAAAGGGCATTTGCCTGAATTGGCCTTGCTTTACATGCGGGTTGATATTGAATCGGGGCCCTCCAGAATTCTCCTACCTTGTACCAGTGTGAGTCCATATACTTAGGCTTCTGATTTATTTCTGATTTTAATGATAAATTAATTTACCTACCTCTTATCTTCCTTCACAAGAGTAAGGGTGGGACCCACCTGAATGGCAGACCAGTAAAATGTCAAAGCACATCTCTTTCTCTCTGTGCAGAGGAACTTCAGTTCATGGAATGATGAAAAGGATGAAAATCTGAAGGAGCTGGTTCTCCAAAATGAGCTGAAGGTGGGTGTGTTAGGAGGGATCAGTTGTACTTTCCATGACACTGGGAGCAGGTCTGCTCTTCCTGCATTATTCCTGGGCCAGGGCTGCCCCTCATCAAGGCAGAGAGGGTGTGTCTAGTTTAAGGACAACTTTTGTCTTACTGAGCCTTGAGTGGAGATGTGTTTGCCTTAGGGGCTGGTGATTGGCTTTCTGCCTTTCTGCTTTGTGCTCTCGGGTTCATGATAACTCTTCTTGGGTAGTGACAGTAACTGAGAAAAATGATTTATTTTAGGTTAGTAAACCAGTTGATCACCTAATATAATTGATCAGCTAATATGTGCCCAAAGGAGCCCTGGTGGTGCAGTGGTTAAACCCTCAGCTGCTAACTGAGGTCAGCACTTCAAACTCACCAGCTGCTCTGTGGGAAAAAGGTGTGGCAATCTGCTTCGTTAAAAATTACAGCCTTGGAAAATCCATGGGACAGTTCCACTCTGTCCTATAGGGTTGCTGTGAGTCGTGATAAACTATATTGTTTAGATGAAAGAAGTTTAGACAAGGAAGAAGTTACGGCTTGGAATTTTCAGATCAGGCATCAAGATGCTGGTGATTGGAAGGCAGAGAACTTAAACTAGACCTTGAAGGACTGATAGGGTTTGTTAGATAGGGAAAAGGGGGAAGGCATTTTGGTCAAGGGAGGGGTGGCGTAAGCAAATCCATGAAACTGGGAGAAATAACTGGTGGGGAGGCCATGTAGAAGCACACAGTATAAAAAAGGCCAAGCTGACTAGAATAGGTGTTCATGATAGAGATAATGGAGCAAATTTGGGATCAGTGTAGGAGGTTGGAAGTTGTTATAAGCAGGATTAATCATAGTTTCTTGAACCAGGTTGGTGACTGTCCAGGCATGTACCAGTAACTTGAAATTTGCCTCCTACATTGGAGGGTGCTGAGAGACCAAAGAAAGAGGTGGACAATTCCAGTATGGTGGCGAAGGAGTTTTACTGGGAGACTTATGTACAAGGCGGTCCCTGGACCAAAGCAGATCTCCGCATCCTGCAGTGGGAGGGCAGAGGTTTTATAGTGGTGGTGGACAATAGTGGCTCCATGCCGGGATCTTATATAAGAATGCAAACTGTAGTGAACTGGCGGCCCACATGAGGGCGCTCATGTTCGACCTCACGAAACTTGTTTTCCCTTCAGTCTGCCCACCAAGGCCAGCTCTTACAGCCTGGCATGTTTTCTCTCTTGTGCCATAGTACAACAGGCCCCATTTTCTCCCCACTGGGAACAGATATAGAAGTGGGGCTGGCCACGTGCCGTGTGGTGCCCGCGCATGTGCAAGAGACAGGGAAAGTTACTGTGTGCTCAGAACAGGGGGAAGGCTTCTGTGATAAGGAGAAGGAACTGGGAGAGAGAAGGCAGCCCAATCCCTAGCTTCCTGATCAGAGAATATTCTGGGCCCAAAGCCTTTACTTAGCCTGGATGGGAGATGTAGAGGCAGACTATTACCCCAACAGCCTACCCCCCAACTCCCATCTGGGTGTCAGAAAGAGAAGCAAAGCAGTACCAAGCCCTGGTATGTCCATCACCCATTTTGGATGTTGAGCTGCATGTCTATGGTTTGAGGCTTAACTCAGGTGGATGTTACATCTGTGCGTTATTTGAGGCAGCATTTAATGAGGTTTACTAGTAGGACTGTCCCTAGCAGATTGATCAGGCCTGCTTGGAGGGAAGATCCCAAGCAGCTACCCCAGTGGTGGCTTAATCCAAGCTGACTGAATAGATCAAAGGGCTGCATTTGTCCAATCTTATGTATGTATAACATGTCCTGATCCATTTATGTAAAAACAGCATATTTCTCCCAACATGGCGCATTATATGAACAGTACACATTTCAGTACAAACAATACAAAGCTCTCCTCAGCAAGGTTGAACAAGGTATTATTACCATTGCCAGACCAGGCTAATTCAGACTTGGTGTAGTCAGTCAATGTACGTTGGACTACTTGGTCATATTCTGCAAGTTCTTCACGTCCAGACTAATGTCAAATTCAGTCTTAAGAGTACCGTTCTTAGTGTTAAACCTTCTAGTCCTGTGCCATTTACATTTTTAACACACAGAGAAATTTCCTTCTAAAGTTGGAGCACTCCCCACAGTTAGCTTTCGTACTTCAAAAGATGTTTTCCATGAGTGTGGAGGCGACCATATTCATTTACCCCATGATCTTCTCAGTACACCAGGTTACACATTCAGTTGGTCCACGAGGTATCCTCCTTCTTGACAAATCAGCTGGAACCATGTGGGGAGATGACTCGTCATCTCAGTTCAGATGTTGACAGAGCCAACAGTTGGTCTGATTGGTAGCTCTAGCAAATGCCTGTGTCATTGGAGCCCATGGATGAGGGGCCTGTCCATCATTGTGTGATAATCTAGGAAGAAAAGAGACAACATTAACAATTCAACCCTCCCCTCCCCTACCTCCTCTGAGACTTGAGGTGAGGGTTGCCTGGGTATAATCACCCAGGCTCTCTGTCCTAGTCTTGAGGCAGTGACCTCCGTGGGAACCCAGATCTTTTGTCAGAAACAGTTGTATACAAAAGAAACACATTTTATAGAGTAAACAATTTGATCCAACATACGGCACAAATGGGAAATGCCCCTGTAGGAAATTGTTGCGTTGAGACCCAAGACTGTTTGCCTGAGATGTATAGTTCAGGCCGGGGTTGTCTTGTCCCCAGCCATCAGCCGTTTAAGCCTGTCCATTGAAGTGCTTTATCGCCCCTATGACTTGGGGGTGATATAAGAGCAGGAAAAGTTCATTCAAGATCCAGTGGAAGCCTTTGTATAGGATAAGAGGCTCCAATATGATTTACCTGCTGAGAATGCCCTGGCCTGTTGGCTCCAGAATCTGTCCCTGGGCAGATTTTAGCCTTGGCCAGGGTCTCATAGGCAGGTCAGCTTTTCCGTGCTGTCTGGCATTTTCTGATGGCAGTGGCATTCCATGTGTGTAGGCCCAGTCTGGGATAGTGTGTGACTCTCCATGGCCTGTCCTCTAGTCAGTTGCACATCTCTTTGCTCTAGAGTAGAGGATGTTTCAGCCTCTGCAGTCAGTTGGCAGGAGCAGTCAGTCTGCTTATTGGTTGTTTTTCCTGCTCAGCATAGTGCCCTTTCTGGTGACCATCCACACAAGTAACAAAAGCTTATCAGGAGCAGAACTGATTTTTTTGTCCAGATAGCTCATCCCTGTAGGAGCTTGCTGTATATGTCAATCTGAGGGTTGTCAGTGGCCAGATCGAATGGCTAGGCTATTAGCTATAGCCCACATCACAGTTTCCATACCCTCCCCTCCTCCCCAAAATGGTCCTAACTGCAGCAATTCCCATCAGGGATTGGAGGCAGAAGTTCACAAAAGTGCACATTGATCAACACCATCAATACATGTAATAGGGGTTTGTAGGGGCCCTGAAGGGACTTATCAATAGTCAAGCTTGGGAAAGGATCTCAATGCTGGTGACCGCAGACCCAAAAGTTTTCCTCATTTTGGTGCCAGGTGTTACAGAGATTACGGTCACCTGTGCAATGATATCTGAAAACCGAAGACATACAGTTCTTTTCATTTCCTCATTGAACTTTAATTGTAATATAAGGCCTTTGGTTGTAAGCTTAATCCTCAGTCTTAACTCTTTCTGAAAGTCAGAAGATCTGGGCAAAGTTGGCAGAGCCCTCAATCATTTGTGGAGCCACGCCTCCACCATACCGAGTGCAAATATGGGTTCAGCCCAGTTGCCTGGTACCGTGGAGACAGTCTCTCCTCCTTTAGTTTTCCCCTTACTATTGCAACTGTGACTATATTGCTGCTTGGTTATCTTGGCAGGGGCAGTTATCAGAGAGTTCCAGAGAGGGCCTCTAAGGTCTTTTCAAGGCTGTTCAACGAGGGCTATCTTGAAGGCCTTTTTTTTTTTTTTCGTACTGTTTTAACTCTTGCTTTGCGGCTAGGTGTTACAGGATGTTTTCAGCACCAGGGACCTGCTTAGCCCTTCCAACTATCTCCAGTCCCATTGTTGGAGGGCTTTGAGCAATGGCTAGGGGATTGTTCCCCTAACCCTTGGATCCCCCATCTTAACAAACCTGCAGGCAAGTGTTTCTAGCTGCTCATCTGGTTCACGGGCGCGGCTGCTCAATACGTCAGTCGTGGCTACACATGACTCCCACACATCTCTAACTATAACTCTTTCTGCAAAGCTCTTAATGTGTGCTTCAGCAGCTAGCTGGGCTTCGGTGGCCAGCTGAACAGCCCAGAGCAGCGACCATCCCACGGCTGCTACTGTTCTCCTAGCTTCTTTTCCACACTTATGGAATTGCACGTCTGTCCACAACCAGGCTGTGTCATTTGGCATTTTGGGGGCGTCCTCATACTCTGGCCAGTGTAGGGTTTCCCTTGCAGAAAAGCATATGGGCCAGACCTCCCCACATGGAGGTCACTGGCTATCTTAGTTATCTAGTGCTGCTATAACAAATACTGCAAGTGGATGGCTTTAACAAACAAATTTATTCTCTTAAGTTTAGGAGGCTAGAAGTTCAAATTCAGGGTGGCAGCTCTAGCAGAAGCCTTTCTGTCTCCGTCAGTTCTGGGGAAAGGTCCTTGTCATCAATCTTACTGTGGTCTAGAAACTTCTCAGTTCAGGGACCCCGGGTCCAAAGGATGCACTCCGCTCCTGGTGCTTCTTTCTTGTTGGCATGAGATTCCACTCCTCTCTGCTCGGTTCTCTTTTTTGTCTCAAAAGATATTGACTCAAGATACAACCTAATCCTGTAGCTTGAGTCCTGTCTCATTAACATAAAACCAAAAAAAAAAAACTAAACCCATTGACATCAAGTCAATTCCCACTCAGAGCGACCCAATAGGACAGCATAGAATTGCCCCATAGGGTTTCCAAGGAGCGTCTCTTGGATTCAAACTGCCTTCCTTTTGGTTAGCAGCTGATCTCTTAACCACTGTACCACCAGGGCTAATCCTGCCTCATTAACATCACAGAGGTTAGGATTTACAACATAAAGGATAATCACATCCAATCATAAAATGGAAGACAACCACACAATACTGAGAATCATAGCCTAGCCAAGTTCACATACATTTTTGGGGGGCACAATTCAATCCATAACATTCCACCCTTTGGCACCCAAAAATTCATGTCCTTGCCATATGTAAAACACATTTCACCCCATCATATCATCCCAAAAGTGTTAAGTCAACTCCAAATCCTGATTCCATCCTGGGACAAAATTCCACATCTGTGAAATCTAGAATACAAATTATCTGCTTCCAAACTGCAGTGGTGGAACAGGCACAAGGTAGACATTTCCATTACAAACAGACAAAATTGGAGGGAAAGAAGGGATAACAGGTACCAAGGAAGTCAGCAGAACACATTACATTAGCTTTCAGGGGTTGAAAATAATCCTCTGGTCTCTGAGACCATTTAGGCGGTGGCCCTGCCCTCCAGACTCTCAGTGTTGGCCACACTCTTTGGTTCCTGGGTGGAGGCCCCTTGACTCTGGGCTTCAGCTCAGACTTCCAGGTCCACTGGGACTGCAACTCTGCTCCTTTGAATTTGGGCAGCCCCATTTTCCTAGTCTGTCTGATTGGTGACCGTAACCCCTCAACCCTGGCAGGCCCCATTCTGCTCTTTGGGTGTGGCATCCCCACCCCTTCAGCTTTGGGCAGCGGATCTGGCCCCATCCCGTTGGCACTTGTGAAAGGCAGCCCCACGTTCTGGAACTGAGTTGATGAAGATCTGACTCATTGAAACCCAGGAGGCCATGGCCCCACTCTTTGAGACTCAGCAGGTCATGGTTCCACCCTTTGAGACCCCAGAGGTGTGGCCCTACCCTTTGAGACTGAGGCAGCTCTGCTTCCTGTGCTCGTTGTTTCTTCAGCTTCTGCTTCCTGGTTCCTTGTCCTCTCGGCCCTTCGAACCTTCAGCCTCTTGGTCCAGCCTGGCCTGTGCCCTGCTTGGGCAACTGTTACAAAGCTCTTTAGCTCTACTAATAAGTGCCTGGAGGAACCCTGCTCCACCAGCAAACCTCAGCCAGAAAGCATTCATCTCTCTTGCTTTGTGGGTCAGCAAGCCTAGCTCCACCGATAAGCATCCCACTTTGCCAGGATGCCTCCTGCCTGAAGGCACTTAGCTCTCTTGTTCATGGGTCAGCCCCCGTGCCATCTCGTGCCAGTCTCCTAGTTCTGCTACTGCTATTTCTCTGCTGCTGCTTCTCGCCGTCTGCACCATCTCTGGCGTTACAGCTCTCCTTACCTCCATTTGAGTCCTCACCAGAATTGTCTTTGATGTCCATAATTCCACCAACAGTCTCTTCAAGGCAATCTGGGCTTTTACTGTTAGGCACTTTAAAACTCTTACAACCTCCACCCATTCACAGTTTCAAAACCACTTCCACATTTTAGGTCTCTGTTAGAGCAGAACCCCACTCTCAGTACCAAATCCTGTCTTAGTTGTCTAGTGCTACTATAATAAATACCACAAGTAGATGGCTTTAACAAGCAAATTTATTCTGTCATAGTTTAGGAGGCTAGAAGTCCAAATTCAGGGCACCAGCTCTAGGGAAAGGCGTTCTCTTTTTATTCTGAGGGAAGGTCCTTGTCATCAGTCTTCCCCTGGTCCCTTCTCAGCACAGGGACCCCGGGTCCAAAGGACACACTCTGCTCTTTGCGCTTCTTTTTTTGTGGTGTGAGGTCCCACTTCTTTCTGCTCACTTTTCTCTCATATCTCACAAGAGATGGACTCAAGATACAACTTAATCGAGTAGCTTGAGTCCTGCTTTATTAACATAACTGCCTCTAATCCTACCTCATTAACATCATAAAGGTTAGGATTTACAACACATGGGATAATCACATCAGATCACAAAATGGAGGACAACCACACAATACAGGGAATCATAGCTTGGCCAAGTTGACACATATTTTGGTGGGACACAATTCAATCTATAACACTGGCCAACCTGGGATATCCCCCGCAGAGGCCTCACTCCCACTTCCCATTTCTTTGGTTTCCTGGCTGGCTCGTCAATCGTCCAGGTACGGACCAGTAAGGTGAAATTTGCCTCAAAAATTGGAGGGTGCCAAAAGACTGAAGAAAGAGGTGGTCAACTCCAGTGTGGCGGTGAAGGAGACTTACATACAAGACGATCCCTGAAGGCCACAGGACCAAAGCAGATCTCCACACGCTGCAGTTGGAGGGCAGAGGTTTTTTAGTGGTGGTGGACAATAGCGGATACATGCCAGGGGCTTACATAAGGATGACTTAGCAAACTGTAGTGAACTAGCAGACCACATGAGGGTGCTTGTGTTCAGCCTTGCAAAGTCTTTTTCCCCTTAAGTGAAATAATAAAGGGGTTTTTGGAGAAATTAGTATGTCAGTTGTATGTAGGATGATTTGAAGGGAGGGAAAACTGGAAGCAGAGAGGCCAACCAGGAAAAAGACTGCTGTTAGGACCTAGTGAGGGCAGGATTAGGACACTTCAGGAAAGTAGAATAAATGGTAATTCCCAGAGACATTTAAAAGGAAGTTTTTTTAAATTGTGGTGAAAATATGCACAACCATTCACCACTTCAACAATTTCTGCATGTATAATTCAGTGACATTGGTTACATTATTCATGTTGTGTAACCATTATTGCTCTCTTTTTCCAAATTATTCTAACACCATTAACATAAACTCAATGCCCCCTAAGCAAAAACTCCCCCTTAAAAGGAAGATTTTTTTGGTGACAGGTTGAATTTAGATCCAGCAACAAAATTGTCCCAATTTCCCATATTCTGTTGCATCATCCTTATCATTATTAAAGTGTCCTAGCCATGTCAACATTTAAAAAAAATTTTTTTTAATTGTACTTTAGGTGAAGGTTTACAGAACACCATGTCAATGTTTTGTTACCCAAACTACAAGACTAAATCTCACATTTAGAAGCTTTTCAAAAATTCTTTGTTTAATCATGTATTATTATTTTTGGTACAGAAAATCTCATCCCCTTCTATGTAAGAGAAGAAGTAAAAGAGCCAAAACCATCGCAAGCTCATGTTTTGGTAGATTTCTGTAGTGTATAGAAAAGCATCATTAGCATTTAACACAGGCCGGCAGACCTGGACTTAAACCTGCTACTTGCTGGCCTTATGTGTTTAGGCAGTGTAGGAGTGGATGACGAACGCAGCCCCGACAGGGAGATGGTTCACCAGTGCCTCCAGGTAGCCACGCTGGCTTAACTGTAAGGCAGAGTGTGCTGCTGTTCACCTCTACAAAGGATACCAGTCCTACTCAGCCCTTCTTGGTGCCCTGTAGTTGAGTAGTTTTCAGACTTTAACTCAATGATTATAACATTGAAAATAATGCTTTAAAACCTGTTGTTGTTGAGTCAATTCTGACTCATAGTGACCTGACAGGACAGAGTAGAACTGACCAATAGGGCTTCCAAGGCTGTAACCTTTAAGAGAGCAGACTGCCATATCTTTCTCTTGCTGAGCAGCTGGTGGGTTCAAACTACTGACCTTTTGGTTAGCAGCTGAGCGCTTAACCACTGCACCACAGGGGCTGTTTATAATTCTTCTAGGGTACATAAAATATTTGTGTCTAAACTTGGCATAATATTTTTTTTTCTTAAGTATTCTCCTTGTGAGAGAAGTGCTTACCTGAATCCAGTTCCTTTTCCTGAGCTTGCTCAGTTCTTCCATTCCCAGGATAAGCTTCCTGCCTATGCATTAATTTTCACCAAAAGAAGAAAAAAGGACCCAACTTTCAACAGTGTCCATTCACATCCCCAAGGTAGTCTTAGCTTAATGTCTCTAAGCCTTGGTATATTTATTTTTAAAAATCTGTTCCTGATACATAGTAAGTGCCCAGTATTTTATTGTTATTGTTGTTTTATTATTACATGGTCTTCCAGACCATATAGCCTTAATTCTAACTGAGGAGAGTTCTCTCATTGCTTTGTAGGTCTTTGAGCCATTTACAAGCTTATATTATAACTCAAGGTACTGCACCTTTGGAAAAAAATATTAGATCATAAAAGGATTCCCAAATATGGATCACATATAAGTGGAATAGGGAAAGGAAAATTATAAACAGATGTTTGCCTAATATCTCAATTAAATTTTAAAATAATTTTAAAGATAACATTTGTGGTTTTTTTCCCTGATTATAAGAGCAATACATGCTCATTGCAGAAAACTTATAAAATAGCATTTATTGAGGGGGTTTCTATTTATAAAAGTAACATTTGCTCATTGAAGAAAACTTAGAAATCACAGAGAGCCAATGCATTTTTTAATCCTTCGGTTCACAGCCAGAAAAGGTGCAGGGATCTCTGGGGGGCTTTGAATAGCAGTAACAGTGAGGAATGTGAGAAATAAAACCATGAGAAAACCAGGTCAGGATGACTTCAGCCTTCAGTCTCCTGCCCACGTTGAATGTCTGAGATCACCTTCTATATCTTTGTAGATTGACCAGCTGACTAAAGACTGGATGCAGAAGTGGAGTGACTGGAAGGCCCTCATGGAGCATTACAGTGTGGACATCAACAGAAGGAGGGCAGGGCTGGTCATTGACTCCAGCCTGCCACACCTGATGGTCTTGGAGGACGATGTGCTCAGCACAGGTGTTGTGCTTTATCACCTCAAGGTGAGGGGGCTGGTGGCCTCCCTTTCTTCCTGAGCCACTGGCCTCAGGGGTCAAGGAGGGAAAAGCCAGGGCAGCAGCCACGTTTCTGTGAATTGAAGCAGATGCCACAGAGCTGCCTTCACGTTTGCTCTCAAGAAACTGGTCTAGCCAACCGTGATCTGTTTTACTTTTGTATGAATAGATCCAAAAAAGACCAAACCAAACTCATTGCCGTTGAGTCCAATTGATTCTAAGTCATAGTGACCCTATAGGACAGAGTAGGCCTGCCCCATAGGGTTTCCAAGGAGCAGCTGGTGAATTTGAACTGCCGACCTTTTGGTTAGCAGACAAATGCTTAACCTCTGCACCACTAGGGCCCCATGAATAGAGCAGAGGACTGGAAATCAGAACCCAACGTTCATTTTTCAGCTGTGGCTCCTGTTGCTCTTATAATAACTTACTTTTATTCTCTGTGCCTTAATTTCCTCATTTTAAGGTAAGAATATTGCTTCTTACCTTCCTTTTATGACTTCCTGAGGGACAAGGATACAGTCATTGAGCATGAAATCCACACCTTAAAATATTGTCAGCACTCCTGAGCTCTGAAAGTACAGGCTGCTCAGAGATGGTGTTCAGAGGCTAAAGGGGGCATTCAGAAGATCTGTAACAGTTTTCTTCAATACCTCCCCACTTCATTCAACTCCCAAATCAGCAAAGAGTGTGCCTCCCACTTCCCAACCACTAGGCTGACATAAGGAAGCGAGGAGAGAGAAAAAAGATAAAGTGGAAAGCATGAGGGAGGATCCTGAGTTGAGGGGGCGGGGTTGCTGCATGCATTCACCTAGAAACGTTAGAATGAAGTTAAGGTCCCCCAAAAAGGACCTGGCTCTTTGTCACCTGGAGGCCAATTCCTCCCTTCTAACTGAAGCCGTTTGAGAGTTAGAGACCGATGGTGCATGGAGCCTTCTATCCTGTCCTCATCAAATATGCTTGTCTCACGGAGGAAGCACAGTCCCTGTGGATGGTGGCGCATGCTTCACGTGGCCGAAGTCCCTATGCTTACTGAAAATCCAATTTGCATTCTCATAATTGTCCCCAGCTGACATTTAAAAGAAAAAGTTTGTAGTGCTGCTATTAGCCCTGGAGAAATTAGTCTCTTAATGCTGCAGGGCATATGGGTAGTGAGATGTTCACAAAGCTCCTCACGTTTAGAAGTTCTTTGTTCTTAGGAGAAGCCCTCAGGCTGTCAGAGACTGTCCTCTCAGAAAGCTAAAGTAGCTTATTTTCTGGCACAAGGGGCATAAATGACCTCGGTGTAAAATCCTCAGGCAGAAGGGGTCCTCAACTCTTACTTCAGCAACAGGTCTAAATACCAATGGTCCTTTCATTAGCCAGAGCCACAGGGAGAAGTTAGAGGTCAGGAAGAGACTAGATGGATTAAAACTGCCAGTATTTGAATAGAATTGATCTGATATATTACATATGAAGTGAGCAGATGAAGCTGGAAGTCAAAGTAGTAGAGCTTAGAGTAGTAGCAGAGGATTAAAGGATAAGTCGGAACCTTGGAGTAGAGTGAGGATCTCGTCTGAATATAGGATCATTCTCACTGCTGAGTCGTGCACACTGAGGGGTGTGATTCCAGTAGGCCTGGGAGATGAGGTTCCAGTCCAGTTCTAGTGCTGGCATTTCTGTTTTGTTTACCAATCGCCCTCCCTCCTTTATATTTGTGTAGATCCTGGTTTAGGTAATAGTATGATAGTAATGGCACATGATTCTCTGTATTTTCTTTACTTTGCTAGCCTGGTTGCAAACTCAGAACTAGTTGCTGGTATTACCCTGGAAACGATGTTCCCTTGGGTCACCTTGGGAAGCAGTGGGGAGTGAGAAGGAAACAGCAGGGAAGGAGCCCAGGTTGCTTATATCCTGAACTTCATCTCGCAGTTTCCTGTGTGCCCCTGCTAACTCCTCCTTCCCCTGCATGAGAGTCTGAGGGGGCAGCAAGCAAAGGAGCCAGCTCAGCCCTTGTTTTCTGGGATGCCATTGCATTTTTTAGTAGTCTTCTGCCAGCAGATCTTCAGGTTGTGATTTGCTGTTACCATTTATCCTTTTGGGGAATATGCCTCATCATCGGGACTTGTCCCTGAACCTGCATGAAGAGCCTTGACCTCTTTCCTCCGAGTCACCCTCTGATTCTGTGTGATGGTGTTTGTGGCACCCATAGACTCATGTGAGCAGGAAAGCCTGGGCCCTGGCTACTTGTGTGTCTGCAGGGGGTGGGGTGGAGCGGGCAAGGCAGGCCAGAGCCTCACTTGTTGCTTCCAGGATTTTCCCTTCTCACAAGCTTCAGGGCCCTCCCTACTCTGGCTGCTGGCAGGGAAGCTGAGTGGGAACTCTGGACAGGTGGCAGGGTGAGGTGGGAAAAGCATGAGCTTAGGGCCCAGAGACCCCTGGATTCCAAACACATTCTCCTATGTGGGTTCCTCAGGCGGCTTATCCCCTGAAAGCATCAGGTTCCTTGTCCATAGAAGGGGGATGATAATTCTTGCATTTTGGATTATTAATGCCTGGGACATTTTGAGTGGTTATTCAGTAGTGATATTCCACACATTGTAAATATTTATCTAAAATTCAGCACCTCTGTTGCAGTGTTGCTGTCTTCCCCAGACAGAGCTCTGTGGTCTCACACAGATTTGCCGCGATCCAAGGGCCGAAAGCCCTCGTCTTCTCCTAACCCAGTATGTGTTTTACCTAAGGACGGAGTCATCTGTTCATACTAAGTCCGTTTCCCCTCCTCCCTTATACTCTCTTCCAGTCCTTTTTGGATCTAGATGGTACCTTTTCTCCCATTTGTGCTTTACGCTTCTTAGATTCTGGTGTCAGTTAAACTGTACCTGAGGACCAGAAGGTAAAGATCCTGTGCTTCTGTACATCTTCACAGGGTGCTTGTCTATTAGGCACTGACAGGGCAGACTTGGTGCACATTAAGCCCAGCCCCTGCAGCAGAGCTGCACCTGTGTGCCCACCTCCACAGACTGCACAACCTCCAGCCCGTGACTGGGGCTGTTCCCTGACTTCAGGCTACAGGACGGACACGAGTTTGCCAACATTTGTTGCATCTTGCGAGTAGCTGGTGCTGCTCCGTCATGTATTTTTTTGCCTCCTTCTCAGGGGCTTCCTGGGCTGCAGAGTGAGTGGGCAAAGGGATCAGAGCGGCCTGGACCAAAGTTGAGAAATGGGGCTTTGGCAGAGGCTGAAATGAAGGTGGCGATAACACGGACACACGTGGACTTTCTTTGGGGGCAGGGCTGTCACTTTTTATTCTCATTAAAATGGATTTGTTTTTTTCCCTTTAGGAGGGGACAACAAAAATAGGAAGGGTTGACTCAGACCAGGAACAGGACATCGGTAAGCGACAGGGCACCTGGGTCTGACACTTGGTGGCAGGTATTTGTGCCTGCAGAGGACTGTGATGGTGCTCGGAGAGGAAGGGAATCTTTGAAGTATTAAAGGTCGGCTTCGTTGGGTGGTGCAAAAGGTTAACACATTTGGCTGCTAACTGAAAGGTTGGAGGTTCGAGTCCACCCAGAGGCGCCTTGGAAGAAGGGCCTGGTGATCTAATTCTGGAAACTCAGCTATCGAAAACCCTATGGAGCCCAGTTCTACTCTGACACTCACAGGGTCATCATGAGTCGGAATTGACTCTGACAGCAACTGAACTGGTTTTTCTTTCTGTTGGTAAGTTTTGGGTCTGGGATGTGATAGGAGAAGGCCTGCACAGTGGGAGGACCTCAGGTGTCAGAGGAGTAGGTGGTCCTTCCACTCTTGCCACATGGATTCTGACATCATAGGAACAGTGGAGGGGCGATTCCCTGGAGCATCCCTGACCCAAGTGACCACAGCCTCTTCTGTAGTCCTGCAGGGCCAGTGGATTGAGAGAGACCACTGCACCATCACCAGCGCCTGTGGGGTAGTCGTTCTGCGGCCCACCCGGGGGGCCCGCTGCACAGTGAATGGCCGAGAGGTCACTGCCTCCTGCCGTCTGACCCAAGGTAGGATTGTCTACAGCCCTGTGTGTTCCCAGGATGGGTGAGACCCAGGCAGCTCAGTGAAACAGGCTTTAAAGATGGAATGGCAACCTGTGCAGCCTGAGATCTGAAAATGTTCTGTACAGACCCTTTCCTGTAAACAAAGACGCCCCAGAGTGGAGACCAACTCTCTGAAATACGTATCTCTCTTTGTTAGCTCTGTGCCCTTGGGAAAGTCTCTGAGCCTCAACTTCCTCATCTGTAAAATGGGGATAATAATAGGATTGCTGTAAGGTTTGAATGAGCTTATCCATGTAATGTTCTTAAAAGTGTGCTTGGCACTTAGTAAATATTCATATTGTTATTACTGCTGTTATTAATTTATTCAAATTCTATCCTTTGAGGCTGAGCTTAGATTCTCCCACTGTGACAAAGCTTTCCTGAACCACCTATCTGGAACTCATTTTGCTTTGCCTTGGAGAACTAGGGCTCTTCCTATTTATTTCTTTTTTTTTGTTGTTCTTTCTTTCTTTTCTTTTTTTTTATTGTACTTTAGGTGAAGGTTTACAGAACAAATAGTTTCTCATTAAGCAGTCAGTACATGTTGTTTTATGACATTGGTTAACAACCCCACGACATGTCAACATTCTCCCTTCTTGACCTTGGAGGACCTTTTTTTCATTGTTTTTTTTTTTTTTTTTTTGGTGAAAATAAAAAATAGCCAAAGATACTTTTTTTTTTTTTTTTTTTTTGGTGAAAATATACATAGCCAAAGATACACCATTTCAAAAATTTCTACGTGTACAATTCAGTGACATCGATTACGTTCTTCCAGTTGTGCTGCTATTCTCACTATCCTTTTCCAAATTATTCCATCATCGTCATCAACTCACTATCCCCTAGGCTTCCCATCAAACCTTTTGAGTTGCTGTTGTCAATTTGATCTCACGTAGATAATTGTTTTTTTTGTGTACCTTAGATGAAGGTTTGCAGTACAAATAGCTTCTCATTAAACAGTTCGTACACATATTGCCCTATGACCGTGGTTAACAACCCCACAACATGTCGACACTGTCCCTTCTCAACCTTGGGTTCCCTATCACCAGCTTTCCTGTCCCCTCCTGCCTTCTGGTCCTTGTCCCTGGACTTCTGTGCCTCATTAGTCCCACCTGTTTATTTCATTACTTCATCATATATGGGAAATTACTTATATGTAGTTAATACACATTTTATTGACTTAGCTGAATTGTCAAGGGCAGGACTTTACCTCACAGAACAGTACCCTGCATGGAGTACATGCTGAAAACCTGCCTCATTTTCCTCTGCCCCTCAGGAGCTGTTATAATCCTGGGGAAAGCACAGAAGTTCCGTTTCAACCACCCGGCGGAGGCTGCTGTCCTGCGGCAGAGGAGGCAGGTAAGTGGGGCTGTGTTTTCTAGGAAGACTAGCCCGCCTATTTCTCCTTTCTCGGGGAGAAGTGAGAGCTTTGTTCCTGTTGGGGTGGGGTGATGATGGCAGCCTCACTGTGCGTTCTTCCTGGTTTCCAGGTTGGAGAGGCTATTGGTGGCCCTGGCTCTTTGGAGTGGTTGGACTTGGACGGAGATGTCACTGCCTCTCGGACGGGTCTCTACCCTTTGCTTTGGAAGGAAAGGTGGGAAACAGCTGCTCTTACCGCTGTGGGACCTACTGGTTTTGCTTCTTAGTCCATCCCACTGTAGAATGGAGAGATGATCAGGGTAGCAGCCAAGGTCTGAACGAGACCTGGCCTGAATTGACTTGGGCAAGCGATTGAAGACGCTGAGTTGGCTGCTCCGTTGTCGTTGGCAGGGAGGTGATCTTGGCCCATTTATTTCCTCTCTGGTATTTCAACTTTCCTTTTTTTTTTTTTTTTTTGCCATTTTCTTTTTTAATTTTTTCCATGCAAAAATTTATACATACCTTGTTATGTGACTCTAATTGCTCTCCCCATACTGTGACAGGACACTCCTCCTTTCCACCCCTGATTCCCCATGTCCATTCAACCAGCTCCTAACCCTCTCTGCCTTCCCATCTCACCTCCGGACAGAAGCTGCCCGTTTAGTCTCTTGTATCTACTTGAGATAAGAGGCACACTCCTCACAAGTATCCCTTTATGTCCCACAGTACAGTCCAATCCCTGTCTGAAGAGTTGGCCTCGGAAATTATTTTAGTTCTGGGCTGATAGAGAATCCAGGGGCCATGCTTTCCGGGGTTCCTCCAGTCTCAGTCAGACCATTAAGTCTGGTCTTCTTACTAGAATTTGCATTTTGCATCCCACCTTTCTCCTGCTCCATCCGGGACTCTCTGTTGTGTTCCCTCTCAGGGCGGTCATTGGTGGTAGCCAGGCACTGTCTAGTTCTTCTGGTCTCAGGCTGATGAAGTCTCTGGTTTATGTGGCCCTTTCTGTCTCTTGGGCTAATACTTTCCATGACTTTGGTGTTCTTCATTCTCCTTTACTCCAGGTGAGGTGGAACCAATTGATGCATGTTAGATGGCTGCTCGCTATCTTTTAAGACCCCAGATGCCACTTACCAAAGTAGGATGCAGAACATTTTCTTAATAAGATTTATTATGCCAGTTGACCTAGATGTCCCTTGAAAGCATGATCCCCAGACCCCCGCCCCTGCTACTCTGTCCCTCAAAGTGTTTGATTGTATTCAGGAAACTTCTTAGCTTTGGTTTAGTCCAGTTGTGCTGACTTCCCCTGTAGTGTGTGCTGTCCTTCCTTTCACCTAAGATAATTCTTATCTACTATCTAGTATTTCAACTTTCTTCATCATTAAGAAGTATATCATTTTATATTCCCTATAGCCACTTTCCTCTGTCCACAAGATTTAAGTGTGTTGATAGAGATGCTTGAAATTGCCTCTGAGCTTGCCTCTCTATTCTGCTGCCAGTCCTGGCCTGCCTGTGTGTGAGCGCAGAGTGTGTGTCACCGAGCTCCCAGGGCTTAGGGTTTCCTCTGAATTTTTAAAGATAGTGTATGCCTGAGAATCCTTTTCCTCGTAACCAAGGGTCCAGAACTGTACATAAGATGGGCACAAACGCCAAGAGCCATATGAAAATATCTTGGGGTTCTGTCCCCATCCCCACTTCACTTACAGTTTGACTATGAAGCAGTGAGTCAAAATTTTATGTGTCATTTGTGACAACAAATTTTCAGAGTCTTCCTTCATCCATTTCTACATAGAATCTCCTTCCCAGACCTAGAGGCCTCTCAGATTTGATCTGGGAACAGTGGTATCCTCTTCCCATAAGCCAAAGTGGCCTCTGCTTTGGGGACCCCGGTAGAAAATGTCAGTGGGGATTCAGAACCTGTGAGATCACTGGTGTCAGGAGGCTCCCAGCACCTTGACACAGGTCTCAGGAGGGTCATGATGGCCTTTGGTGTCTTGTCTCCTTAAGAGGGATCTAGCTGCTCTTTTCTCAGGCAGCAGCCTTGATGGCAGCTAGAGGCAGTCCTGGGCGTGGCCTTGGTGGTGAGGGTGGTTGGGTGCAGGGAGCAGGAGCACCCTGACACGGAGTGCATGAGTGCGAGGCAGCACCTCATGGGAGGCTCAAGGGAAGATGATCCTAGTGTTGAGGGACTGGGGGTTCTTGGGGTGAAGGGTAAGTTGGGGAGAGCTGACTCAGGGTGGGCAGTGTCAAGGACAAGGACTAAGACTGGAGCTCTTGTTTTATCAGAAAGGCCGTCCTCTGTGTAGTGGAGGTTTCTATTAGGAAGGAGCATTGAGAATCTCGTTTGCCCAGAGTTCAGAACTTGACAAAGAATGGCATTGCAGCAAAAAAAGCAGCAGAAGTGGAGGGGAGACATTGGAAGGGGACAGAGCCAGTCGATACTGGCCCTACTGCGGGAAAGCTCTGTCACCTTAGGCAAGCTGCTGAACCTCTGAGCCGAGCCCGTTTCCTCACCTCCAGAACGAGGATCCTGCCATCTCTCTCCCAGGTGTCCTTGTGAGCAGATTACAGAGCAAGTGTGAGGAGTGCTCCGCAGGCATCTGGCACACCCGTAGCCCACGTTGCTGGGAGACTGCCTCCCTCTCTTTCCTGCCCTCCCATCTCAACCCCAGTGACCCATCCACCCCAGAGAACACTGGCCTTCTGCCTTTTAGGGCTTCTTGGGCTCTCTGTCTCCACGGGCACTGACATGACCTTTCAGAAACACCGATAGTATGCCCTTTCATCCAGAGAGGACAAAGAGGGATTTCAGGAGCAAGGCCTCCCCACCCACTGCCTCCACTGTTCAGCACCAGCTCTAGAAGCCTGTGGGCTGGTCTGGTCCTGCCCAGCTACCATAGCCAGCATCTGTGTGCCTGCCCTGTGGCCATAGTGTGGTGTGGGGCCCAAGCCTGTGATTGGCCAGGGGGAGTGGGGAGGGAACTGGTCAGAGGAGAGGAAAATGCACCTTGTCAGCTTAGCTCCCAGTCTGGGTCTGGCTGTGTCTCCAGGAGAGCCTCTCACGCTCTTTTGGGTGGGGATGGCTCCAAGACCCCATTTCCCAGGCTCTCCCTCATGAGTTTATCCGGAGGAGCATTTGTGGAGAGCTTGCAAAGCCGAGACCGACGTCGGAGCTGGGGGAAAGTGGCTAGTTGGCCCCCCTTTTTTCACTGCAGCAGTGAGCTGGACCAGGGAGCAGTGAGTCCCAGAAAAGCATTGGCTGTCCACACTGCTGGCACTTTCCCAGTTGGAGTTTTCAGGCCTTAACCTTAAATGCCTGGAGCCTGGGAGGCGCTGTGGCTGCCTCTAATGACTTAGGGACTAGACACTGCTGCGTCCTGCTGCAGGGGCAGGGGAGTCCTGGCACGCAGAGGACCAGGCAGCTGCTGGGGGACGCTGGCACCACGGAAGATGAGGACAGTCATCTGGTGGAGACAGGTCCCTTGGCTGGTGGTTAGCGGGAGACTTGCCTTTGGTAATCTACCCAGACACGTAGCAGAAGGTTGGTATTTTCTTTTCACCTGCTTCCTGGGAGCTAGGCTGATGTGTTTAGAGGAGGAGCGGTTTTCAGTCTGAAGGTGTGTGGCATCTTGGGTGGACGTGTCGTGTCTGCAGTGATAATGCCAGCCAGCCTATCCTTGCTGGCCCTGTCACTGTTAGGAAGGAAGCTATATTAGGTCTGCAGACGCCAGCTGGCGAGCTGCCACTTTCCTGGGGACAGGATACAGGGAGCGCTCTTCTAGGGAGAAGCAAACTGTACAGCTGAGGGGTGGGGGACAGGGTACAGGGAGTGCTCTTCTAGGGAGAAGTAAACTGTACACCTGAGGGGTGGGGACAGGGGACAGGGCGCACGCTTCTAGGGAGAAGCAAACTGTACACCTGTGGGCTGGGGACAGGGTACAGGGAGCGCTCTTCTAGGGAGGAGTAAACCTGTATACCTGAGGGGTGGGGACAGGGTACAGGGAGCGCTCTTCTAGGGAGAAGTAAACTGTACACCTGAGGGCTGGGGGACGGCAAACAAAGGACTTGAGTCATCTCAGGGGATTCCCAGTAAAGACCCGCGGCCCACCCCATCCATCTGGTGGTCTGTGGGTCTTAGCCAGGTTTGTCTAAGTCCCCCTGATGGCTTCACGTGTGTAATTTGGCGATTTCTGTGGTCAGACATTTCGATCAGCCATACAGGCATGATACATAGTATAAAATGTTTCCCATTAACTGGTTTTCTATTCCAGTTGCTATCCCCAGCCTTCAGCCTCACATGTGACCAAGGTGCCTTCCCTCTTTCTGTGTGTGCCCCTGTGTGTATTTGGCCTTTGCCCATGGCACAGCCATCAGCACGCTTTCTCCTGAGCATGGTCAAGGATGGGGCTGTCCTGGTCCTTGGAGCTGCTTACTGCAGGAGTCACCTCAGCACGGCCCCAGGGAAGAGACTGTGCTTGTCTCAGGCCCCCTCACCCCTCAGCCATCTAGTCACTGTCCTACATGTTCATCCTTCACTGGCCCCCTAAGACTGTAGTAAGAAATCTGACTTTCCTCTAAGACAAGGGCAGCAAACATTTTCTGTAAAGGACCCGATAGTATTTTAGGCTTTGCATGCCACGGTCTCTCTGAGGCAGCCCCAGGCAGCCGCCTTAGGCAAGATGTAAACCAGTGGGTGCGCCTGTGCCAACACAGCTTCATTTACAGAAACGGGCAGCAGTCACATGCGGCCCGCGGGCTGTGGTGTTCAGACCCCTGCTCCGAAACCCTCTGTGATTTCATTCCCTCTGCAAAGCATAAATCCCCCAAGAAAAGTGAGTCCTCCGAGCACACTGCTCATCTTGTGTGAGATCTGATCCTGGTGTCAGGCCCATAAGAGCCGCTCCCGGCTTGGGGTCGCGTGTCCTGGGGCTGGGCGAGAGGCCCTGATCCTGGCTTTTTGTCAGGTCTGGAGCTCTTTCCTGCCACTCCTCTCCCGCTGCCACCCGGAGCTCCTGGGCACTTGGCACCCTTAGAAATCTGACCGTCGTGGATAGAGACACCCAGGCAGAATCAGCGTGTGAGGTCCTTGCATAGAAGAAGACCAGGAGTGGCCCCAGGGTAGGGCTAGCATGGAGTGGAAGCTGCCAGTTTGCAGAGGAGAGTCAGAATCATCCATGATCAGAAGGGAACCTGGCAGCAGAGTCAGGCATGACCACCGTCTAGAGTTCTTTTTGAGCTTTTTATTCCAGTACATACTAATTATCAACTCGTGGCTAATCTTGTTTCATTTATACCCCCACTGAGTCTGAAGGGAATCCCAGACATATCATTTCACCAGTAAACATGTTTGTGCTAAAACTGTTGAGCCCTGCCCAGCATCTTCCGTGAGAACAGGTGAGGCCGGCTTTCCCCGGCCCTGGCCACACGTGCAGGTGTCGGGGCACACAGGTCTTGTCTTCCCTGACCCCCCACCCCGTCACGGGCTGCTGTGTCAGGGTGTGGAGTGCAGCAGTGACCTCTGAGCTCTGTGGAGTTTCCAGTCCGGCAGCGTTTCTGGGGCTTTTGTTCTAGTCAGTTTTTCCAGGGGATTTTTCAGGACATACATTTTTATTCTTTTTTAAAGAATAGAGCTTCTTAATTTAGCTAAAATTAAAAAAAAAAAAAATGCTGTCCTGGTGATTTTCCTTAACCAGAATGAAAATGTAGTTTCTGCTAAACCTGCCCCTCTAAGAATATGTCAGTCCAGGGGCCATTCTCCCTTCCTGCACTGTGACATCACGAGCTGTCTGTGACACTGTGCCTGCTTGTCCCAAGCCCAGGAGAGCAGGTGCCGAAGTCCAGAGCCCTCTCTACCCTGTTGAACTGGGGGCTCAGACTGCCACTGGCTCGTCCTGTGCTTGGTTAGCATTTCCCCTGGGTGACCCGTGGCCCCTTCTGTGACAGAGGAGTGCTGGGGGAACAGTGTGAGGAGGGCCGCCTGCAGCCGGGGGACGGAGCGACGTCCCATGGGGTCCGGATTCAGCGGCAGCAGTGCTCTGTGGAAGATTTGAGGCAGCAGATCCTAGCAGGACACCTCAGAGCTCAGCAGGAGCTGGAGTTGGACCAGGCTCGCCTCGACCAGCAGAGTAGAGACGGTAGGTGCCCACCATGTAGGGTGTCTGCCTTCCCTTCTCCTTTCTGCCTTTTCGTGCGCCCCCAGCCTTCTGCATTCTCTCCTTTGTTTTCTTTGTGATATGATGGAACCCTTGGCTTTGGGTGTTCTCTCTCTTCTTTCAGAGACCAGAGGCCCTCACAGGGGGCTGGAAGCAAGAAGGAGGGAACTCACTTCCTTGTCTCTCAGGATCATGGGCCTCCTGCTCCCTTCTCATGCACCCACTTGGCCTTGCTTTACTGCCCGCGCTGGCACGTGCCCACCGTGGTGCTGAGGCCTGGGGGTGCTCCTCCGCTTCCCCTGTGACCTTGCAGCCCCCATCCTCCAGTGCCCCTGGCCAGCTCCTGCACTGCAGACAGGGCCAGCCCTGGCCGGAGGTGTCAGAGTCCAGGCAGCCAGGAGCAGGGAGGGAGATGCTGACCTTCTGTCTGGGTGTGTTTGCTTGTCAGACCAGCAGTGGCTGCTTCGAGAAGAGACCTGGCTGGCCGGCTTGCAGCAGCAGCAGCAGCAAGACTGTGTAGCAGAGGAGGTGCTTGAGGCCTCCGTGGCCTCCGAGGCTCAGCTTCAGACAGATTCTGAGGCTCAGCCGTCCCCACTGGTCCGAAGCCAGAAGCAAGTGGTGCAGCTGCAGCTCCTGCTGAGACACGCTCTTCGGACAGCAGAGCAGGACGTCAGGCAAAAAAAGGCCACGTTCCAGCTAGAGAGACTCAACAAGAAGCAGAGGCTCCTGGAGGCCCAGAAGAGGCTGCAGCAGCTCAAGGTGTTGTGCTGGCTCCAGGATGACAGCACCCGGGAGCCCCCAGACCAGGTCCCCAGCCCGGATGCTGTGGTCCCAGGGCCTCAACGCAGAAGCAGATCAGCAAGTTGCAGTTCTTTGAGCCTCCAGAGGCTTTGCAGACAGTGCTTGCCCCAGCCGCACAGGTACAGCCAGTGATTGGCACTGGAAGCATGTGGGAACCACGGAGTATTTTAGGGCCCTTGGCTGCAGTTTACAGCCTTGTTGCCCAGGTAGTGTTCTTTGCTTCCTAGTGACTCGGTCTCCTCAATCTGCAGAGTTGGGAGATGTGTTTACTGCTCCCTTCCCCACCACTTTGTTCTTCTTCTATAATTTCTATCGTCTGAGACTCGGGCTCCTTCCCTTCTTTCTCACCGTCACAGCAGCAGCTCTTTCTTCTTCGGTGATGTCTTCAGCTCATTTTCCACCCGCCCTTTAATCACTGACTGTCCATGTGCATCAACTCGTGTGCTTTCTACCATCACCTCAGTCTCCTCATGCCTCAAACTAGATTTCATCCTTCCCGCAGGCTTCCTCCCTCTCCCTCCCTGCCCTGCCACCTCCAGTGAGCTTCCCAAGCTCACTCCCAGCTGGTTAGTAGAACACTGCCTTTCTGATTCCTGAGTTCAGTCTTGGGATCTTTCTGGTTTCTTTTTTCCCTCCGTCCTTATATCAGTCACGGTGATGTGTGTGTGTATGTTTTTTTCCTTCTGTTTATTGTTGATGCTGTCTCCCACACTGCTTGGAGCGGGGGCTGTGTCTTACACCTCTTTATGTCTTCAGGACTTAGCACAGGTGCACAGTGGACATCTGGGTTGTATTTCCTCACCTCTCTAGTCTTCAGGGTACTAAGAAGGATTTTTTTTAACTTCGTACTATGAAAATTTTTCAAACATGTACAGTAAAACCTGCAAAAGCCAGAACCTGTGTAAGGCAGAAACCTGTCAGAGAAGGAAAACTCAAATATTTTCCACTAATAGAGAGAGAGAGAAAAGTGGTAAGACCGCACCTGTCGAAGGCGGAAAGCTTACGAGATCCGGAAAAACAGGGCAGTCCTGGCGAGTTCCAGCTCTCACAGATTTCACTGTATGTGCAAAAACTTTGAAAAGTGTACTCTATATGTGAAGTATCTGATAACAAATTATCAACCTTTTCATTATAAAAATCAGTAGTTGAAACTAGTATAAAACCATATATATTAAAATGGATTCTTCTTGTGCCTTTGACAGGGTGCAGTCTTGTTTTTCCTGGTCTCCCAAGTTTTCTGCCTTCGACAGGTTCCGTCTTTTGCAGGTTTTACTGTACACAGTTGAGAGAGTACTATACCCCTTGCCCACATTAAGCAGTTATCAAGATTTGCCACCCTTGCGTTATCTTCCCCTGTTGCAGTTTTCTGATCAAGTATTTTAAAGCAAATCCTAGACATCATATCGTTTCAATCCTACTTAAGTATGCACCTCTAAAAACTGTGGACTTTTCTTATTGCCACAATGTCATTATCACACATAACAAATTTAAGATTCATTAGTCTAATAGCTAGGCCATATTCAAATTTCTGTAATTGCCCCCAAAATGTGTTTACAGTTAGTTGTTCAAATCAAAATCCAAATGAGACTTACACACTGCAAGTGGTTGTTACTGTCCTTTATGTTTCTTTAGATCACTCCTTTTGTTGTTTTATTTTGATTTTTCGTATCATCGATTTGTTAAAGAAGTTGGAGGGTCAGTTGTTCTGTAGAGTGTACCACTTTATAGATTTGTCTGTTAAATAATTCCTGTATTCCTCCTATTTCCTGTTAACTGAAGGAGTGATTAGATGCAGTCTGGCCTTTAGATAAGATAGAGAAATTGAGGAACAGAGTGGACCCGGGCCTCCTCTCAGAGCCAGTGCTGTAGGCCACAAGTTTCCTTTTGTACCTGCAGAGCTTTTCTCTGACCCCGAAGACTGTAAGAGACAGTGATACAGGATTTTTAACCTCTTTCAAAGCAAACTAAGCGGGAATTCATGTTCCCTCTGTCAGCAGGAAGTAGGGGGCCTCTGACTTTCTCTGAGATGGCTGTCCTTGTCTCCACAGCGTTCTTCTGAATCAGCATCCCTCCACCATGTTACCCCCTGTGCCTGACGGCCCTCACCAAATACCAGAGGAAATGCTGTCAGAAGAGCATTTGCCCCCAGCTGCTGCTTATCCTCCAAGGACAAGGGGTTCCAACAAAAATGACCTCTGTTCCTCCGGCCTGGGGCAGCTCCGCACAGCCAGGGGAGCCTTGGCTGTGAAGGGAACCTCAGCTCCAGGCCCCTGCCTCACTGTGAGCCCCGAGTCTGCCAGTGTTCAGGAAATGGAGAGAGAGAGGAAGCAGCCCCATCGGGAGGTGTCCCAGGGCTCGGCCTCTCTGAGCCAACCAGCTAACGAGCTGAAGCCAAGGGATGAGCCAGAGGTCCTCACCCCTACCTCCCAGAGCAGAAGGGCTGAGGGACTAGTGGAGTCTGGCTACACGCAAGCCGCGTGGCAAAGAGAAGGGAACCTTGCAACCCACAAGGCTGCCAGAGGCGCTGGCTGCAGTTCCTCACACACCTGTGCACCCAAGCAGACATCTGGATGTGGAAAGGCATCCAGTACGTTCCAGGCAGGATCCAAACCTACATCTCCAAGCAGGGCCTCAGAAAGGCAGCTGAGGGTCCTGGCAGGTGGAGTCAGAGATACTGCCAAGGAGCCCTCTCATATGCCTCAGGACGGCCCTTTAAAGAGGCAGCGCAGTGCAGGGGACCCAGACACCACGGCTCCACTCACAAACTCCAGCCCCGAGGTGGGTCACGCGGGAGAAAAAGACGAGGATTTCTCTGACACAAACAGTGATTACTCAGTGGATTCTCTGTCCTGTGTCTGTTGCAAAGCCCGGACAGAGCCACTGAAGCCAGAGGACCTCCAGGGGAAGCAGCTGGATCTCCCAAAGCCAGAGAACTCTGAAAGTGATGAGAGCCAGATATCTGAGGACTCGCTGGCTGAGAGGCGGTGCCAAACCCAGAAAGACAGTCCTGAGGGCCGTCATCCCACCAGCAGCCCTGGCTCCCACAGGGCCAGAACACGAGCCTCTGGGAGGGGCCGTGCTGTCCCCTCAGACAGTGGACTGCTGGCTCAGGTTCACAGGACCTTTTCCTTGGATAGTCTGATTGATGCTGAGGAGGAATTGGGGCAAGCTCAGAAAGAAGAGCCTGTACTGGGCTCACCTGAGGAGGTGCCCACAGAGACTTTTTGGCACCTGCCGAGCTCCAGTGTGTGTGCAGAGGGCCAGGAGGCAACGAGCACTCCATTTGACCTTGCTCCTCCGTCCCAGCCCCGTTGTGAGCAGCCTGAGTCAGCCATGGAGGTGCGCTGCTCTGAAAAGGCCAGCTGTCTTCCAGGCACGCTGCTATCCGGAGGGAGCCCACTGATGTCCATGGATTCCTGGTTTTCCTGTGACTCAAAGATCAATCCCAGCAACCCCCCAGGAACAGTGGGGTCTTTATGTCCAAGTCCTGATGTCCAGGAGTTTCAGCCCTGTGGTTGGGAGAAGCCTGGGTACTGGCTAAATATGGAAGAGCTAAAGCCTTCAGGTACAGCAGTCCTGCCATACAACATCACACCGCTCCAAGGCAGTGCTGAGCTACCCTACAGCGCAGCAGATGCATACACAGTCCCTGGTTCTGATACATGCAAGCTGTCACTCTTGGGGACTCACAGGCCTCTTCAGCCAGGAGCTGATGGCACCTTTCAGGGAAGGGGTGTTTCTGACACGGCCCAGCGGGGCACCTCTGTAGCGTCAAACAGCTCTAGCGTGTCCAATGTGTTGGCCGCCTCTGCTGCCTCCCTCACTCATCTAGGCAGTGCCTGTGTATGGGACTGGTCTGCCCTTCAGCAGAAGTACCTCCTTGAACTGTCTCATCCTGTTTGGGAAGCCATAGGAGAGCCCAGGCCAGCTTTCCCCTGCCTTGAAGAAGACTCTGGTTCCCTGGCCCAAGCTTCTGGCAAAGGAGGAGATTCTCTTTTGCCAGTTGGTCTTGGGGTATCTAGCAATCTGGATTTCAACAGCTTTTCCGTCCATCTAGCCAAAAGTAGCCATTTGAGAGCAGGGAAAGAACAGGACAGTTTGAGTGCCCAGTTAAAAGGTTCTTCAAATTTCTTTAGAACTAGTGAGAAAGAGGTGAGTTATAATGAAACTTCTTCAGCAGACTTAGAATCATTGGCTTCTGGAACTACAAACGTACAGGTTTTTGCAGCAGAGAGCAAGATAGCAAATTTGATGACAGAAACATGTGAAGTCAAACAGAACAGCTTGGAAGAGCATTCTCAGGGTAGCAGGAAACCTGCACTAATGACTTCCTCTGATGAGGGTTTCTTCCTGAAGAACCCTTGTCATAGTAATGGCCCCATGGCCACCAAAGAAGACCACTGGCCCCAAGGCTGGGTGCCTCTCAGGGACAATATTGCAGGCCAGCGAGCTCAGCCAAGGCACAGCAGCCACCACCCAATCCAGGCAGAGAAGGCAGGTTGCCAGCAGAGCTCCAGAGACACAGGTTTTTCCTTTGCCTTTCCCTCAGATTCAGAGCTGTACCTGCCCTCTGTTCCCTGGGATCCATTTCCATCTTCCCTGCAGCCACCCCCCTTAGAGACTTTCTACGTGACCAAAAGCAGGGATGCCCTGACAGAAACTGCCTTAGAGATTCCAGCTTGCAGAAAAGCGAGGGTGCAGCCTCCATCCCTCAGGGAAGCCTGGGGCTCCAGTCTTGACCACCAAGTCATCCGCGATGCTTATTTGGAGAATAATTTGCCAGTGCTCTTACAAAACCAAAGTTCCAAGTTTGCCTTGTCTCAGCAGGTCACAGCAGAGAGGCCGGTTGATCTGAACGCCAGGAGAGTTACAGGAGAAGTAGGGAAGTGTCCTGGAAATAGTAGAGAAAGCCACAACCCCATTTATTCTGTTGCCCAGAACAGACATCTTTTCTCTTCTACCAGCACAAAAGTATGTGAATTTGAAAATCAAGTTGATATTTTAAATAAAAAACACGATCTAGCACTCAAGGAGAGAGGAAAGGCCACAACTCTGTCCTGCTACAATGTTTCCTCAAGCAGTTCTGTTTCTGGGAAGCCTCTCTTTGTTTGTGAATTTGGGGAGGAAGCACAGGGTCAGAATGCCGGCCTAAGGCAGAGCCAGGCCTTAGATATGAACAGACAGTGTCCTTCTGGGGCCAGGTCTGATTTCATCTGTAAAACCATCAATTCACGTCTTGAGAAGAACATGCTAGGAGAAACGGCTATTGCTGTGAAGTCCAGTGCAGTAGATCCCAATGCCGGCAGCCCAGTGGTGGTGGCCCAGGATGAGACCCCTGCCCACAAGTGGGAACAGAAGGATGAAACTGGTCTTGGAAAAGCTCTCCATTCTACAGACAGCTTAGACGAGCTCAAGCATCCAGAGCCAGACTCTACATATGAAAGATTCCAGACTATTCCATCCTCTCAGGAAAGAAACCTCAGTGAGTGCAAACGACCTGGAAAGTCACAAGGAAGGACAAAGGAAGAACCTTCTGGAAAAAAACAGAACAAAAGGGTTAATAATGATGATGAGATGGTGAGGCTAATTAGGAGTGTAATGCAGCTAGAACATAGCATCTTGGAAATCGAATCCAAGCAGAATAAGCAGCTACATGCTTCCCACACACCGGGAGTCAGAAAGGAGACTGTGTTCCAGGACCGGGAGAAGGCTGACTGTGTCCTGAGGCCAGGCAGCCCTGGAGACTGCTTGTCCTTCAAGGATCAGCCACGTTCTCCGAAACACCACGATGGTGTTGTCTTGAGGGATACCGAAGTCAGAGAAATGACGGAGCTTAGCGGTTGTGTTGGGAAAGACCCCCAGGTGCAGAGCCCCTTCCAGACAAGGGAATGTATAGAAGAGATTCGATTTGTGAGAGAGCCCACCTCCCCAGCTGCGTTAGAGAGATCTGCCGGGGACACTTGGGATTATTTAGGGACATGTACAGCCCCCAGGGCACCCACCAACACTTCTCTTCACCCGAGGAGAATGACAGCATTGGCCAGGGCTCTGCCATCGCAGCCCAGGCGAGAGAGTTCTTCAGAAGATGAGGGTGGGTTGTTACATGAATCAGCTAGCCCCAAACGACAGCCTCATGACTTGGGAAGTCTTATGGAATTGGAGACTCTGAAGGTTTTCCAGAAAAGCCAGGTTGCTGAAGACATACACAGTTCTAGTCAAGAGGAGCTAACAGTTCAAGGCAGAATTGAAGAAATGACTATGCAAACGGGACAGAGCCTACAGGAGGAAAACAAACCCGTCTCATCGCATCAGAAACTTCCTAGTCTGAGCCAGCTTTATATGAGCAGATTTTTCAGCCAGGAGACCATCTGCCCATCGCTGAGCCAGGTAGACTGTTCTACAGCTTCTTCTCACCAAGACCTGACTCACACCTTGCCCTTGAATTCTCCAAGGTTGCCAAGGAGCTATCTTTATGCACCTGACACTGGAGGCATCTTTTCAGTTGACTACATGCTGGATCCCACAGTGTTTAAAATCCGTGACAGCCCCTTGGTAGCTAGAGTCGGGCATCAGGACCAGAATGGAGATACCAGAAGCCACAGCCCTCAGGGATATATCAGAGGGATTGCCTCCGTGGCACACTCTGCTGGGTGTGGGTCTGCGATCTCCATGGCCATAGGATCTCATGGTCAGTCTGGTGCACCAGAGAGCTTTTCCCTTGAGGAAGAGGGCAGGATATCAGCAAGCACTGCCCCCCAAGACCAAGGAGGGGGCCTCAGAAGCACCTTCATGAACTTGAGTACCAGGGAGAGTTTTGCTCCTGAAACAGAGGCAGCTATACAAAAAGAAAGAAAGAGAGCCAGTCACCTGAACAGGGTCTCTAGCCAGCTTGAAAAGAGGCCCAGCAGCCCCTTAGAAGAGGATGGCTTCCAAAACAGAGAGGCGAGGCACAAGGCAGAGAATGATGCCAAGGACTTCAGTCTTACCAGCGATGCCTTCTCATCACCTGCCTCCCTGTCGGAAGTTCCCAGTCCAGAGCCCAGGAGCCTGTGGGAGCCCTCTGCCCACACATCCTTGTGCTTGGCTCTGTTGGAGGAGGTCAGACAGGCAAAGGCCCAGGGAAAACAGCTCAGTGACTTTGTGGCTAGGAGGACAGTCCTTCCTCACTGTGAAACTTTACCAGAACCTGAATGTTCTTCCCGGGTCCCTGGGAGGCCTCAGGATAAACAAACAGACCAGTCAGCATCAGACAGAACCAGGAATGAAAGTCAAGCACAAGGAGTTCATGCGGCATTTCTGTCTGCTGAACCAGGACATCTGTTGACTGTCGAGGGGAAAGTCTTCCAGGCCACATCCCTCTCCATGGAGAGCTTCCAACTTCTGCCCAACTCCAAAACTCATAGAGGGACCTGGCTGCCCTCACAGGCCTCCTCCCTCGCGGGCCCTGCTCTGGGCAAAAGCAGTTGCACTGGAGAGCTGGGACATGTGCTAGGAGTAGGTGAACAGACTATATGTCACTCTAGTTCTGAGATCACAGAGAAAGAAGTAATACCTTCCTCTCCTGGTCCTTTGGGCTCAGTCTGTCTTTTTTCTTCAGCAGCTGTGGAGGAGGGCCGGAGGGTAGAACCAGAGAAAGTGGTGCCTGCCTTGTCTTCTCAGGTCCCCTCTGATGGCCCTGGAGTGAGTCCACGTGCACCAACCCTGCTAGCCACATGTGAGACCACAGAGGGTGCACTCCCCGACCGCCAGGAGAGCCTCCCAGAGCACCGGGAACCTAGCAGTCTTGACACCACATGTGGGAGAGACTCAGGGAACTTCTTAGTGACTGCACAGGCAGGAAGAACAATCTGTTTTGAATGTGAGTCTGTGCTCTGTGACGTCCAAAGTTCTGCACGTCTCTCAAGGCCTAATCAAGACCATGTGCAAGGCCTTGAGGCTTCTACAGGCTTAGAAGAAGGAAGGGCAAGTCCCCAGCAAGGTGCTCTCAGGCCCGGAGCCCTGAGAAGGGTTGAACTGGACAATCCTTCACAGCAGTGTGTAAACTGGAAGGGGAGTGTTGGGTCTAGGCTGGCAGAAGCCTGTAGGCCTGGCGGCAAACCTCCTGAGCCAAGATCATTGCCAGATCAAACACCTAGCCCAGATCCCAGGGGCGTTGGGGAGGAGGCCCCGTTCAGATGCCCAGAGGAAGCTTTAGATTATGAGGTCTCAGGGAGCACTGAAGACAGCAGGACTGTCAGCCCACCTGGGGGAAGGAACGAGAGCCGAGCTCTTCCTTCCCAGCGGCTGTGCAGCTCTCAGCGTGTTGCTCCTCAGGCCTGTTCTCCCCACTCCTGCACGTCACTGTGTTGTGCAGGTGGTGACCTGGAGAAGGGGACTTCCCAGGCTGCCCCAAACACTGTCCACCCGCCCTGCATAGCACCTTCCAGGGCCTGTGGCGTGGATGAGAGAGGAGCAGGCCGTTCCAGGGAAACTGATGTGCTCCTGGTGCACAGCCTCAAGCCCAGAGGCATGAATATGGGGTTAGGGCCTGCAGACTGCAGCACTCTGGAGCCCCCAGCCACAGCTGCTGTCTTTTCTCTGGCTCAAGGCTGTAGTTCTTCTTTGGCCCCTGATATAAGGACAAGTTCCTTTGGCCACTCAAGTGCTGATGGAAGCCCAAGGTCAGCGGGGAGCCCTGAGAGAAGAAAGCAAGTCAGCATGGAGTTTGAGGCTATCCCACCTGTGGACATGTGCTGTGAGCCACCGAGGAAGCTTCAGGACTGCTGTGCAGGTGGCCAGAACACACAGCTGTCTCGAACCCAGCCAAAGCCACCTGCAACAAGTGGAGGACTGAATGCCCAGAATTTAAGTGAAGGATCTGTTGAGAATGAGCTGGTGGTGGAACCACAGCATGGATGTTTAGAAAATACCTTCAGATGCCTTCCAGAAAAGCCACAACTTTCCGCTGAGTCCAGGGATCACAGTGGCTTGGATTCCCAAGTGAAAACACATCCAGAGTTTGTAGCCAGGTTAAAACATATCCAGAGTACTCCAGTTGACAGTCCCTGGGAGGAGGAAGAGCAGCAGGGAGACCAGGCTTCAGGTGATGGTGGAAACCCAGTTCAGGGTGGGAGTCCCCCACCTTCAGACGAAGATGGCCTGGACAGTCAGATTAGAGACGCCAGGACAAAGGAAGAGGCTGTGTCCAAGCCAGAGAGGTTCTCATCAGACTTGGAAGACTCAGCCGCTGTGCACATGGGGAGAAGTGGGCCACAGGAACACATCGAGAGGCCGGGCCACCCCCGCTCTAGCAGGGAGCAGTCTCCTTCCCATCATCGGGGCTCACTGCCTGTGATTGCAATCTTCTCTGGCCCCAAACACTCCCCCAGGGCGCCCCCCAGGCCACAGTTCTCTGTGGTTAGCTCTTCCCGGTCTCTTCAGGAGCTGAACTTCAGCATGGAGCCTTCTTCCCCCACAGACGAGGACACACAGGGACCTAACAGATTATGGAGCCCACATCCCAAGGGCTGCTGCTCAGAAGAGTTGGCGGTAGGAATTTCTGTAGAAGCTGAGGACTGCTGTCAGAAGGACTTGTCTGATTTGGACAGTAGGACTGCTGAGCACGGGCCCTTGAAACGAGCCACCCTGCCTTATCCAGCGTCTTCAGCTGTCTCATGCATGCCGACCCCAGATTCCCTGACCAGGGGGTTGCCTGATTCTCTGCAGCAGGCCTGCCAGGGAAGGCCAGAGAAACTGGGTGGCCAGGCCAGGCCAACAGAGTGGCTTTCTGGGGTGGACAAAAGAATGCTGTACTTTGACTCTAGTGACGTCAATCCGTACGTCCTGCCCCAGCGTCCAGAGGGGCCCGGGCACTTTGGCTGGAAGCAGTATGTGTTTGGCAGTGCAGTCGATGTCTCCTGCAGCCAGACACCCCAGGGCCTGGCACCATCAGATGTGGCCCAGGGCTCCAGCACGGTCAGTGGCCTGGAAGGCCAGAACTCCCCCTTCCACTCCCACCTCAGCACCTATGCCAGTGCCCAGGACCTGTCAAGCACACGCAGCAGCATTGAGAATGCTCGGGCTTCAAAGGAAGCTTCGGAAGTCTGGGGTTACTCATTTGCCTTGAGACATCCCCCCACCACGACAGCCCCTGAAGAAGCAGACAGGAGGTCCCAGCTCAAGGGCCCGCCTGATGAAGCAGGCCTGAGGAGCAAGTCCCCCCTGACTGAAGGAAGTGCCACAGGTCCAGTGGATGAAATCATGCTGCTGTATCCATCCACTGCAGACCAGACTGTGCGGCATGACAGGATGGGCACCCTTGAGCAGGGCACACAGACCCTAGGCTGCAGGCTCCATTGGAGCTGCACTGATGTCTCTTCTGCCACCCCTGAAGCCAGTGCAACGTCAGTCTCTCACCTGGCCTCGTGGACCAGCATGCACAGCCTGTCTCTCCACCTCTCACAGCTCCTGCACAGTACCTCGGAGCTGCTGGGGAGTCTCTCCCAGCCAAGTGTGGCCAAAAAGGAGCAGAACATCAAGAAGGAGCCCCCAGGGGAGGCCCCACAGGCCCTTAGGATGGATGGTTGTAGTCAGACCACCATGGATAAGGGCAGCCAGACTGACCTGGCCTTACCACCTCTGCTCCTCCAGGCACCAGAGGCCAACCCTCAGGAAGCCAGTGTGACCTTGGAAGCGCCAGGCTCAGATACCTGGACAATGTCTCAAGAAAAGGGAGCTGTCCTAAGGGCACTTGAGAAGAGAGAGGCAGAAAAAACAGCATGGAAAACAGCAGGGTCCTCAGATCTTCAGGAAGAATGCATCCACTGCAAGCCCCAGAGGGCTCTGGTACCTTCATCCCATTGGAGCTTTCAGGAAGACCCCCTTGGGCAGAAGCTACCTTCTGTGGGCGCCCAAGATTCTCCCCATGCGTCCCTGCCTCCTAGCTCCCAACCAGAGACGTCCGCTTGTCTGGTCGTCAGCAGTCCTCGCCTCAGCGTCTCTCACTTCCCAGGGCTCCTCCCCAACACTGTAGAGGCCACTGGGGAGCCTAGGGACCAGAAGAAGAAGCCAGGCTTCACACGTGCCTTGTTGGTGGATAGGGCCTCCTCCCCAATCCTCACACTTAGTGCCAGCACCCAGGACTCCTGTCTTCTCCCAGGCGCCTTGTCTCTCTCAGCCCCCTCACCTCAGCCTCTTGAAGGCCACCAAAAGCTTGACTCTAGCCCAGCCCTTCCTCCTGTTGCCACAACACCTCCAGTCCATGGTTACCCCCAGCCCAGCGATGAGTCAGGTGACTCCCAGGGAGTCGAGGCTCAGTGCGGAGGCAGAGGTCCCTTGCAAAGGAGTGATGGGAGGCCCTTCCTTGAGTTAAGCTCGTTAGGCAGCCCGCAGCACTGCCCAGAACTCCGAGATGGTGTCCTAGGACAGCCCCCTCAGCAGCGCCAGCCCAGGACCAGCCAGGCAGTGCCCGCCTGGGTACAAAGGAGCACACGGCCGCCCCCACTACTGAGGAGCAGAAGTTGGAGGCTGGCCAAGGGCTTTGTGCGTGAGGAGATGGCGTCCCCAGATTGTGGCCCACTGAGCAGCGGGGGGTCAGCTCGGTGGCAGAGCAGGACAGAAAGTGGCGGGGAGAGTCCAGCACTTCTAGTGGGGCCACAGCCTGCTCCAGGTACTCCTTCTCAGTGGGGAGACATCAGGCACCTCAGCCCCTGCCCCATCTCCAAGGTGACTGATGCCACAGGGCTCCGAGATTCCGCCTTGGGCCCAGCTGGGGCCTGCCAACCGGAGGGGCTGCTGAGCCCCGCTTCCCAGACGCACACGGCCCCTGAGGCCTCTCACCACAGCCTGAGGGACCTCCCGGTGCATAACAAATTCAGGAACTGGTGCGGGGTGCTGGGTGACTCTCCCATGGGGCTGGGTGTTACTGAGGAGCTGGGGACCAGATGTGATCTGGGCTCTGGAGAGCAGGGAGAGAGGCCCCCCCCCACTCCTGAGGACCAGAGCCAGGCTCCTGAGTGGCCCCAGAGGGAGAGGATCCCCCTGCAAGTGGGGGCCCCGAACCTCTCAGTCAGCCTTGAACTCACAGAGGCGAAGCTGCACCACGCCTTCGGGGAGGCGGATGCCCTGCTGCGGGTGATGCAGAGCGGGACGGGGGCAGCGCTCGCTACTGACCACCCTGTGCTTGCCACGTGGGAGGAGCTCCATGCCCGGTGAGGGCCCCCTGGAGAGGGAGGGCAGGGGCAGGCCAAGGGAAAGAGCCCCTCACCCCTCGCTCAGCTCCAGGATCTCTCGGGTCAGAGACGGGTCTTAATGGGGAAGGGCATTCAGGACGGCCTTCAGTGAATCCATCATGTTTTGTCTCAGGCAAAAGAAAGCCATCCAGGCCCTCCAGAGAGAGCGGGCTGAGCGACTTCAGAACTTCCGCCGGACGCGAAGTCTGAGCCCCCAGAAGCAACTGAGCCTCCTGCCCAGCGTGGATTTCCCCACGCGGGAGCTTGACTTGCCCAGCCGGCGCCGAGATTACCTGCAGCAACTGAGGAAGGATGTCGTGGAGACCACCAGGCAAGGGGAGACCCAGCACCCTGTGGGGAGTGGGCCGTGCGCGATGAGGGGAGACAGGCTGGAGTTTTAGCATCCTGGAGGGTGGAGGCTGCAGCTTTCTTTGAAAGGAGGGGCTCCAGAAGTCTGTCCTGTGTGCCTGTGGACAAGTGGAGGGGATGCAGATGATGGGGCGTGTGGGAAAGAGCAGAGTGAGAGAGGTGGTGGGCAGAGAGAAGTCACGGTAAAGGGTAGACAGAGCTTCGACATGCCGGTTAAGGCTGCAGGCCTGGGCCTCACAATGGCTTGTTCTCCTGTCCAGCACCCTCTCCTAGGATGTAGAATCAAACTCTTAAGACCCTGTGGGCAAAGGGAAGCTGGGTCCTTTGAGAGTAGTGTTGAGCTAAGCTGGGGTGGGCAGGCCAGGGCCACACCCGCCTGCCACGTTAGAAGGCCTCTCTCCAGCCCTGTGGTCATCCCCAGGAGCTCAGAGGCTGCTCCGAGGCCTGCTCACCCACCCTCTGACGTCGAGCTGATGCTGCGAGACTACCAGCGGGCCCGGGAGGAGGCCAAGGTGGAGATCGCCCTGGCCCGGGACCGGCTGCGGGAGCGGACTCAACAGGAGAAGCTGCGAATCCACCAGCAGATCGTCTCCCAGCTGCTGAGGGTGGGGAGTGGGCTGTGTGTCTGGTTTCATGGGAGGCATGGAGCCCGGGGCAGACCTCGGGCTGGGCCAGCCTCCACTGTGGCTGCCTGAGTCCTGGGGCGTAGCACTTGGAGGAGGACGTGGGACCCCTAGTGCCAGCTCAGAGCTGTACCGTCTTCACATGTCGTCCTCACCAGCGTCCCCGGGCCACTGTCGGGGAGGAGGAGGTTTGAGGATGTTCTGAGGTGACAGGGAAGTCTGAGGAGTGATGGCTTTGGGGAGGGGTTGGGGCATGAAGCTGAGGAGGGGAGGTACTGAGAGGTGATGGGAGCTTTGAGGTGAGAAGGGGTGGCTTTGGGGTAGAGGGGCTGTAAGCGGGGGGTACATCCGCCAGAAGCTGGGTAATGGTGTTCTGTCCTTTCCAGGAAGAGGAAAAACTACACCCTCTGGCCAGCTCCAACCCCCTGTGCACCCTCTCCAATGGAAGCCTCTCGTCTGGTGCCACCTCTGGCTACAACAGCAACCCAGCCTTGTCCGGCCAGCTGCAGTCCGCAGACAGCCTGGTAAGTTGGCAGGTGCTGGGAGGGAGCCAGGGCAGGCCCCTGAGACAGGAGTTTGGGCAGGAAGTTCTGCCTCCTGGAGTCCACTGCTGACATGAACCTCCCTTCAGTTCCTCCCCTCCTGCTGATTCACTCACTCAACCGGTGTTTATTTTGTCGACAGCACTGTAGGCACTGGGAATACCGCCGTCAGCCAAACTGCACTCGTCCTTAAACAGACGATTGTTGTTAATTGACATGGAGTCGATTCCAACTCCTGGCGACTCCGTGTGTGCAGAGTAGAACTGCTCCACAGGATTTTCAAGGCTGTGACCTTTCAGAAGCAGATTGCCAGGCCTGCCTTCCCAGGTGCCTCTGGGTGGGTTTGAACCACCAACCTTCTGACTAGTAGTCAAGCGCTCAACCATTTGTGCCACTCAGGGACTATTAGAGGAGATAAACATTAAACAGTTTAATATTATTTAATTACTGTTGCAATAAGTCCTATAATGAAGGGGTGCTAAGCCAACACAAAACAAAACAAACTCTGACCTAGTCCGGAATGTCTGTAAAGGTTCTCTGGAAACCGTGCGTTTAAACTGAGCCACAGGGTGAGATGCAGTCACCAAGTAAAGCTGAGTGGAAGTGGTCCTGGGGAGATGTGGGGGTAGAGAACAGCCTTCCAGGGAGCAGCCCGCAGGAAAGGCCTTGAGGAAGGAAGAGTTTGAGAAACTAAAAGAAGGCTAGTGTGGCCACAGTGTAAAGAGATGGGAGCAGGACTTGAGAAATGACTAGAAAAGGCCAGACCAGGTAGACTGTATTGAGCATCCTGGCCCCTTTCTAACCCTTCTGACACTGTTGCTCCCCAGAAGTGCTAGAAAGCTGCCGAAAAGCTTTTAAACAGAGGAGTAAAATAATTAGATGCAAGAGAAGGGGGCAGGAGGGGTTTGGGTAGCCCCCAGGTGACCACGGTGAAGTTGGGACGGCCGCTTGGGTTGGGTACTGCCGGTGCAGATGAGCAGATGTGCCTGTAGCGGAGGGGGCAGCTCCAGGATTTGGTGGCTGATTGGAGGCTGAGGAAGGGAGAGGGAGGAATGGAGAGAAACATCCGTCTTTGGCTTGAGCAGCCGAAGGGGTGGCGATGCCCACAGTGAGACTAGGGACTGGAGGAGGACTCGGCTGTGGGGAAGGTCACGAGTTTAGGTTTGGACTTGGTTGAAGGCGCCTGTGAGAAATCCAGGGGGAGCTTTCACGTAGGCAGTGGAAATACAGATCTGGGGCTCAGAGGTCAGGTCTGACTGGGGGTAGAAATTCGAGATTCATTTTATACATAAAACTTTACATGGTTAAAAAAATCGGGCAGTAGCAAAAGTTGTGATGTATATTTTATAATCTTTGTTTTATAGTAATTTTGCACTTTCAGCTTGTATTTTTCTTTCTTGAGCCAATTGTTAAGAAAGATAATTTCTTTTTTGAAATAATATTTTATTGTGTTTTAGGTGAAAGCTTACACAACAGATTAGGTTCCCCTTTAACAATGTTTATACAAAGCGTTCCACACAATTGGTTACAATTTTCACCGTGTGTCAGCATTCTCATTATTTCCATTCTGTTTGTTCTGTTTCCATTGATCTAGCGTCCCTGCCCCTCCTTGCCTTCTCATCTCTGCTTTTGGGTAAATGTTGACCATTTATTCTCATATAGTTAATTGTTTAAGGGAGCACATTACTCACAAGTGATAAGGAACAAATTTCTGTAAAAAAAAGCTTTTCTAGTAGAAAGGCCCTTGTTTTCTGACTTTATTTTTAGTTTGTCTGCTCTTGACCAGAGAATTTATGATTTCAGAGAAAATATGATTTTTAAAAATTCTTTTAATTGTTGTAGTTTAAATGAAGTTTACATTTCAAGTTAGTCTCCCATACAAAAATTTACACGTACATTGTTATGTGACCCCAGTTGCTCTCCCGACACTGTGACAGCACTCTCCTCCTTTCCACCCCTGATTCCCCATGTCCATTCAACCAGCTCCTAACCCTCTCTGCCTTCCCATCTCACCTCCGGACAGAAGCTGCC